ACAAATCTATTTGTTAAAATTATATTACTCCACAGGTTCAGTAGAGTTTATTACTCCACATGTTCAATAGTGTGTATTATTCTTCAGGTTATAATAATAATAATAATTTGTAATTGCAAGAAGGTGCAATGGGTTGGTGAGATTACATAAGACGTATTTTAACATTCATGCAAAGCCACTAACACGCAGCGTTTCGGGCAGATATGTTCAATAGTGTCACCGTCTAATTAAACGATCTCAGCATACTTTTCGTAGAATTCAATCGTATTTAACAAATCTTCAGTTCGTTTACGATGTTACTAAAAAATAAGAGGAACCCTGGCAGTACACACATTATATATGGAATTCCTTAAGGACAACTTCTCTCAAGAGTGAACGCGCGTGATCTCGCAGGTTCGTTCTCGACTCATAATCGAGAATTCCAGGTTCGAATTCCGGCCGGGACAGGTTGGGCTCATTTCCTATCACCTAATGCGTTCACCTAGCAGAATGTAGATACCCAGGAGTTAGTCAGCTTCTTGTGGGGTTGTCAGTAATTTGGCTTTGAGGTGGACCTTGATATAAGCCTAACATGTATATATATATACACTGGCTGCCTGTCCCCCCGATACAATGAATTATTGCATTAAAATACAACATATATTCCAGTACAGTAATGCGTCCGAGTGATGAGATAGAAATATCGTTAGCAACAGTAGGGGAGAACCTTTAACAAGCTGCCGGCTCCCTGTCCCCGTTGAGGTCACTAGAGATATAGTGAGCCTCAGGTAAATATCGATAATTTACTGAAGACAATGAACTAGGTCGAACAGTCTCTGTGGTGTAGTGGTAAGACACTCGCCTGGCGTTCCGCGAGCGCTATGTCATGGGTTCGTATCCTGGCCGGGGAGGATTTACTGGGCGCAATTCCTTAACTGTTGCCTCTGTTTAACGCAACAGTAAAATGTGTACTTGGAAGAAAAAACGATTCTTCGCGGCAGGGGATCGTATTCCAGGGACTTGCCCGAAACGCTACGCGTACTAGTGGCTGTACAAGAATGTAACAACTCTTGTATATATCAAAAAAAAAAAAAAAAAAAAAAAACAGTTTGAAGACCATTCGTGCGTCAGACACCACAGGCCTACTTAAACACCTTAGTAAATTGTTCTAATGATGACCAGGTGATCTTTAGCCAAGAGTGCAGTGTAAGAATGTTTTAAATGACAAAAAGATATTACTCTCATTGAAAGATTTGTTTCCAGTTCAGTTCAACAAAATCCAATTCACTCAGAATAATTAATTAGTCTGCCCTACACTGGAGTATTGCTCACGTTTTCTGTCATATTTGAGAAAACGGATGTTTACTCCTGGAAAGTGCTCGGCGTTGTGCGTCTGTAACCCTTTCCACTACCGCCCACAAGGGGACTCCTGGTTCAACCTTGACGCCGAGCGGACGTCTGGACACCACCTCCGCCTGGGAGCTGCCTGGTCACGTCTTGTTTTCGCGTTTTGACTTTGCTACTGCCGTTTAGCATCCCTTTTCAGCGGTCCGCTTGTACGACGCCTGGCGCACATATCGCCTTGGGTCACAGGATTGTTGATAGATTTGTTTTTTTTTTTTGACGTGTTCTGGCTGGTTCTCCCGGCGGTGTGACGGTGTTCGGGGGCCGGCTTGGCCGAGAGGTGCCGGGGGTTGGCGGGTCTTGGTGGGCTCCTGGTGTACCCTCAGCCGTGGTGGGCGGCCGGCTTCTGCTCTGCCAGGGGACACTGGATGACTTTTTGCGTTTTAGTTGGGGGCAAAGTTTTGGTTTTGATACCTGATGTTCTCTGTGTGGAGCGGGGCTGGTGCTTGTCACCCTGAGGGACTCCTGGGGCTCCCCAATCATCTGCCTGACTGTGCGTTTATTTGTCGTATGGCATATTAGTTTCTAGTGATTGGCGTCACTCGTTTTGCGATTTGGCATGGCGTTCCACCTTTCCAGGCTTCGCGATTTCCCCCTTAACGGGTACGCCGGGGAGCATCCGATCCCACGATCGTCGTCGCCCCTAAATCAACAACAACTACCGCCCACAAGATAGGTATGGGGCGCATAATAAATTAACTAAACTAAACTATTTCCGGGCATCAAGCATGCTTCTAAGATTTCGAAATGCAAAATACGAAACTCTTTTTAAATAAATTTATTCAGTCTTGAAACAATACAAAAGAGTTGATTATTGAAATTATTCAAATTTATTAAAGGGTATGACGATGTTAACAAAGAAAAAATAATGTAATTGCAAAACATTATGTGCTACTTTGCCTATAATTTATAGGCAAACACCTGCACTTCATTTAAGCAAAATATTTATTTTCGTAGTAAATTTCCCCGTTTTCTCTCGATTTGACGCTCCGTAATAAAATGCAACAGTTTTGCCTAGCCAGAAGCATACAAACCCAAGCAACCCGCCTAACCTACCGAGACTGATGCTTAACAATCGTCAGTATTACGCACACTGCTTCAATTGTTTACTAACACTCGCAAATTTTTACTATTACTAATTCATTTTCGACGGTGTTCGAACTCGATAAAAATGCGACGTGAAGTTTTGTGAAAGGACGCCGAGTAGCCAACAGATGGAACAGCTTACCAAGCGATCTAATTCAGGGAAATACTATGCATCCAGTTAAAAATAGATTAGACAAGTTCGTCTCTTTAAGATCTGGAATTATTGTTTTGTATTACCAAAAACAAGCAGCTTTTCGGATCTAATGGAGTTTGCATGCCTTTGTAATCCTTTCTATCAACTGCCAGTTGGATAAATATTGCACATATATAATACAATATCATTTTAAAACAACTTGAGCAACTTGAACAAATTTGACAGATATGGTAGAGACGGGGCACATTTATCTAGGGGTAGAGTGGAGGGCTGAGGACGTGAGGATGATTGTACCAGACCTACCGGATTCATCCACGTGAGGTTGATGAGTACCTGAGGTTGATGAATACCAGCACGTGAAGGTATCAGTGTTCTCAACACATTGTCCTCGTCCATAACACAAATTCAGATGTTTAATTCTCAAATATCTGTACATATATTGTTGGGTTAGTTTACACAAATTTGCAGTAAATTGTGTACCTAAGTGAAATTCATATGTAATGTCTATAATTATATACCGTGCACTCAAGACTAATGTCAACTGCCTGAATTTAATAGTTTGTAATCATTATTAACTGCAGTAATGAAGGATAATAAGAATACCTGCAATAAAAATATATTTAATAGTACTAGGATATCACAGAACGACAATGATAAACATGGTTAACAAAATTCTGATGATAATAATAATTATAACAACAGGTAGAGATAATTTATATACTCCCCAATACTGAAATATCACAATAGACACATTTGAACTCTATCACTGATGGTGCAGTACATTCTCACAGTATATTCAGAGTATTTTTATGTTTCCTCTAAATACAACCAGTATACATACAGTGTCTAGATTTACGCATTTTTGTACTGTAGCTGTGTAAATGTACTACTGCTCGATACGTAAGAACCATTCATGTAGGATTTCACAACTAAATTTGGAAATAACAAATTATAATGTAACATGATTTAGTAGACGTATTTAAGCAAAGTCCTGCAAATATATAAAAGAGAAAACCTCAGAAACTACGAAAGCAACATCTTCGAGAAGTATTACTGATCCAAAAAGATTCATATCGCCAAACAAGAGGATTCAAGGACACAAAGAAAATCACAGTGATGTGATATATCAAGGAGAAAATTATTTGGGGTAATGCGAAGAGTTGAACCAACGGTCTAGTGACTCCCAGACACTTGCCCTAACCCACTCGGCCACAATAGGACTCAATATTCAGCCAGGAACTTTACTGTGTCCACTAGGGCAGTGTAGTCCCAACTGGTGCCAACACCAGGTTTTACTAATAGCCCGCCTGCACTCTGGCCTCTGGGTAATGGTGCTCACCACCATACACCCTTCCTTCAGAACACAAAGAAATCACAAAGGGGCGGTTCAGATCCCCACATTACTCCAAATTATTTTTGCACTGATATATTACACCACTGTGATTTCATTGTATTCTGAAGGAGGAGCGTATAGTGAAGAACACCATTACCTAGAGGCCAGAGTGTATGATAATATGATTATAGAGATTAATAGAGATAATCCTAGGGCCCCCTCCACAGTTTGAAACATGTAAGTCCCAAGGAATGCCATCTGGTGTGCTATATAGCTACCACTATCAAGAAGATCCTGGTAACATTTTTTTATTAATAAAGAAAACCTTAATATCCAAGTTCTCATAATACAAGCTCCAGTGACAAAATCTTTACAGCAGGGCGACGGGATGGAACCCGGGTCCCGGGTCATCTCAGACGCAGGTTCGATCCCGCCGTCTTGCTCCAAAGATTGTCTCCGATATGTCAGATTATTGTGGGTTTCGTTGTGTACTAGCACACATGTTTGTCAACCCTACGGAGCTGTTGCTTCCCTAGAGGAGCCACAGCAGAAAATTGATATGGAAGAACTGAAGATGTTTATCCCCTGTTGGTGATAACCGTCTGCCCCTGCAGTTTAATTCAAATTGGTAGAGTTGACAGTGGTAGATAAGTTAAGGATAGAAGTAGATATTACTTCTACCTCACGATGCTCGTCAAAAGTACTAGAGAGCCATGTAGTCAAAATTCCCTCCCCAGCAACCTGTCCTTACACATAATGCACCGGAATTTTGACATTACAGATCACAACGTCAAAAGTCCGATGCTTTACTGAAATTAAAAGCAGCGCAATACTGAAGCTTGCTAGAACTAATGAGCATCGTCCTCGCTAAGGTGGACGGGTTACCTAAGTTAATACGGTTCTGGGGCCAGATTCACGAAAGCACTTACGCAAGCACTTACGAACCTGTACATCTTTTCTCAATCTTTGGCGGCTTTGTTTCTAATTATTAAACAGTTAATGAGCTCCGAAGCACCAGGAGGCTGTTTATAATAATAACAACAGTTGATTGGGAAGTTTTCATGCTTGTAAACTGTTTAATAAATGTAACCAAAGCCGTCAAAGATTGAGGAAAGATGTACACGTTCGTAAGTATTTACCTAACTGCTTTCGTGAATCCGGCCCCTGGTTAGGCAAAAACTACTTGAAATCTGACGCAGCCTCAAAAGTCATCATGGCCAGACTTTATCAAGCATTTACGCTGCCACTTACGAAACCTGTACATCTTGCCTCAGTCATGGTTGCTTTACATTTATTAAATCATTGATGAACCGGGAAACTTCACAGCCCAGGTTATTGTTGTTAGGAACACACTCGTAGCGTTTCAGAACTCATAAACTGTTTAATAAATGTAAACTAATCCGCCATGATTGAGTAAAGATGAACTGGTTTCGTAAGCGGATGTGTAAATACCCAGGAATGCATATATATATTAAAAACTCATATATTCGAATTAAAGTACAAGATAACATTGTTAATTACTGATTGTAATTTTTGTCTTAAATATTAACATTATAGCAATGCTTTCAACCAGGAAGGAAAACATGTAAACAAATACAATTGAGAATAACAAAATAACAAAGATCCACAGAGTACTCATTGTAGCAGCTGGTTATTATGGACATAACAGCCACTCACCTAAGAAGTAATCCTCTCAACTGTTTAACAAACTTTTTTATGTTCATACATTTTTATTACATTCCATTTAGGTCAAATATAACAACAAAAATGACACCACTCATCACCTATTTAGCGAAAACACTCAGGCAAAACTGTATAAATATGGACAGCAACCATCACCATTCAGCCGTGTCTCTAATCTCATGCAAAACAATAGATAAATACTAAGATTGTCAAATAACTGAGGACGACAGTTACAGCCTGGATTCACAGAGCACTTACGTTTTCTCTTACGAGATCTGTACCTCTTACCTCCATCATAGCGGCGCAGTAGATATAAAATTTCCTCACCAATTTATGAGCTCCGAAGCGCTGTGAAGTTGTCCGTAACCCAAAGTTATTATTGGTACGGACGACTTCGTGGCGCCGCAGATCGTAAATTGTTTAGTAAGTACAACCTAAGGCAATATGGTCGAGCTAAGACTTACAGATCTTGATGAATTCCGGGCGTGGTCGTGTGGTCTTAGGGACGCGCGCACTCGCCGTTGTGAACACACCGGGATATCCAAGGCCAGAAGTCTAAGACGTGGTTGAAGATGGTAAAGTCATGCGGACACGACGACTCCGAGTACGACGACGACACTATACCGGCTACCGCCCATTTTTCATCAACATCGTTGCCAATATTGACCAGGTACGGTCCTCCTGATGAACCTTCTGTTAGGAACTGTTTATTATCTGTTGGCGGAAGTAATCACTGTTGAACCTTTCATCATATAAAGCAGCTTATATACACACACAGAATTATGTAACCCTCAAGCTGCTAAGCTATTTAAAAGTTCAACATCGAGGTGCGTATGGGAAAAATATGTATATTATTAACCTGATAAGGATCGTTCCAAAGTTCCAAATGCCCTTGCTGGGACTAGAACCTCCGCCCGCATGATGCAAAGCCGAGTGCTGTACCACTGTACCACCACACGACAAAAGCATGGGGGAGAGTATTTATGAACTCACTCAACCCCATCCCCGAGTGCATTCCGGTTATGTGGTCAACTATTTCATATAGTCCAGGGTTGAGCCACAGAACATGAAATATCAAATGATATAATGCCGACAAAACCACAGTGCAAGTATAATGGTGTGATATTCACCTGGGTTTATACCACAGAACTGGTCCTTGTCAATGGTGAGAGAACTGCCACACTTGCGGTGCGGTGTGGGACGACATCTGATGTCACGTTTCTGAATGATCAGCTCCCACTGGTAATTGTTCGAGGCTCCGTGACGAAACGTCTGGGGGAAATGTTACAGTTAATGTTACTCAAGGAGGTATGGTCACATCGTACACAAGACGATTCGACGAAGCTCGTTTTCTGGTTGTCAAACATCGAGTATGTTATTTGGCTAAGATGTATTACCTTAGTTAAGGGTATGTTAGGCTCTGCTTGGTTAGGTTAGAGTTAAAGGTTTAGGTTGGGTAAGATTGGGTAGGTTTTAACCCCCGTTTACGAACCGTCTTGTGTAGCATGCAACTTGTATTACACTGTTGTGGCAGCCTCTTCTCAAGTTATCAATAAAGTATATTGTATTAATTGAATTTGTAGGTACAGAAAATATTTTGATATAAATGATTAGCTGGAGTGTGGTGGTGCTTTAGCGTGGTGGTGCTGTAGTGTGATGGTGCTGTAGTGTGGTGGTGCTGTAGTGTGGTAGTACTGTAGTGTGGTGTTACTGAGGTAGGGGTGACACAAACAGTAAGAGTCACACAGGAGTGTAGTCACACTCCTGTGTAGTGATACTTGCTATTATCCAGGTCCAGCCAACCAATACTCACAGCAGCAATTTCATCTTCTGGGAAGTATTCACTGAGGACACAGGCAGGGTACACCTTGTGAGAGAACACCATGGGCTTCTCTACCCTGACCACCGCCAGGTCGTGAGAAGGTCTGGTGCCCGGGACGTACCCAGGGTACAGGTGGATCTTCGTCACCTGTAGGGCAGAACAGAGTATATTAATTGCTTGCTAGTACCCCAGGGTATAGAATAAGTAGTACGAGGCATGAGATAGTTTAGTCTGAGGCTCAGCATGGTAGCCTGAGGTATAGGACAGTAGCCGGTATAGTAGTACCCTCAGCTATAGCAATCTATAGCTATAGTCTTATATATAATATAGTAGCCTCGTATATAACATAGTAGCCACATAACATTATGAATACGTAACATAGTAGTCTTATGTATAACACGTAGCCTCATGTGTAACGTGGTAGCCTCGTGTATAATAAGTAGCCTCATATATAACATAGTAACCTCATGTATAACCTTATAGACTTGTATAACACAATAGCCTCATTTATAACACCTAAATGCTTATGCCTCCTGATTTCCTTTTCTTACTCGACATTGAGAACACTTACATAGTCCTTAAAAGGTGTTCCGCTAGGTGACAATAGCTGTACACGCAGGTTGCGCACGTCCAGCGTCTCTAGAGTCTCTTGCGTTCTGAACAACAATAACAAGAAATCAATTCTGTAAAACTGACATGAAAAAATTGCATACCATAGCACAAAATATTTTTATCCTCAGTTGAAAGGGGGGTACTAAAGCTCTTACTTTTTACTGTTAATATTTAACGTTATTTGGGTTCACGAAAAAAAGAACCAGGAAGGAAACTATATCTGTATGAAAAGTCAGATGCCTAAAATGGGTCATGTTATCATTCAGAATGGCGGCTTATTTTTATATTCTTTTGTTTTAGTCCCTCCGAAAATATTGCACACATTGTGGTTTACACAAATTATATTTTATACATAACAAGGATGAATGTTATATATAATATATGTTATGTTTTATATATAAAAATATGAGTGGGCATAACAAGGGAAGGATGTTAATAGGGCATCAAATATATCAACACAAGATAGAACACGAAACAAAGGATGTGAATTGGATAAGTTTCGATTTAGGAAAAATTTGGGTAAATGCTGGTGTGGAAACTGTCGTTGATTTGTGGAACAGATTACCGGGTAATGTAATAGACGTGAGATCTCTCGATTCTTTCAAGCGTAGGTTAAACATATGTATATGAATGAGTTTGGGTGGATATACATTGGAGCTGGGAAGTATGGGCCAATACGCCTTAGGCAGTCTCCTTAATTCTGATGTTCGTATATAAAATTTCCTAAATCGAAACTTAACTCCTGGGATTAACTTTGTCATCATACTCTGCATGAGTTTAGAGGAATTTATATCCATTACATTGTACAATGACTAAAATTTAGCAGCATAAACTAAACGAAGCCTAACAAGAACAAGATAAAGGTGACGACTTAGATGGGGGATCCTATTTGCTTTATTCCGTATTTGTATGTATTTTTTTTTTTTGGGGGGGGGGCTTAAGATTCCTAATAATTATGACACTCAGATCATTTTAAATGTTATTATGTCTTAAGTTTTTAGTACTTACTCGAGGTCGAAATTTATCCATCTTGTTCGTCACACTTCCAGAGTACTAACGTATAGTAACTAAAGCCTCTAGAGTAGTAACGAAGAGTGACTGAAGCCTCTAGAGTAGTAACGAAGATTGACTGAAGCCTCTAGAGTAGTAACGTAGAGTGACTGAAGCCTCTAGAGTAGTAACGTAGACTAAAGCCTCTAGAGTAGTAACGTAGAGTCACTAAAGCCTCTAGAGTAGTAACGTAGAGTGACTAAAGCCTCTAGAGTAGTAACGTAGAGTGACTAAAGCTTCTATAGTAGTTACCTAGTGCAACACAAATTAGACAGTTTAAATATATATTTCTCTTATACATACCCGGAGAGAGAGAGAGAGAGCAAGAGCATGATTCAACCAACCTGGTGACACAGTGAGCAGCTGTGAGGAGATAACGTGAGGAAATAATGGTGGCGGTACAGATGTACTTCTCCAGGTTGTAGAGTCCCGCCAGCCAGGGCCACTGCGGCTGCGCCTGCAGGATGAACCTGCCCTCAGGGTTGATGTACCGTGGCCGCCGCCCGCACACTGTCAACAAAAGTCCCTTCGTTACCCCTCTATTCTCTTACTTACGGGCTATTCGTGCCCGTGCTACCTCTTGGCTGGCTTCATCAGTCAATCAATCTCTATTCTCAGCCAAAATATTTTCACTGTAAAGCATTTGTTCGTGTTTTGTTTTTGGTGTTCATTGATATTGAAGATAAAAATCAGGATATTTCCACAGAAATACGAATTGGACATTCATGTTTAAAATAAAATTTTGCGTAAGTAATATACTACACTTTGTAAATTTATTTAACATTCTTAAAATTTGTCAATGAATTTCAACATAAAATCCTCATATATTCTATAATGGGTAAGTTTAATAAATAGACACATGAAATATTGTCTTATTAGTTTATCAATTAACTTTTCATCTAAAACAGACATTAACGATCAATAACGAAAGGAACATTTAAATGCTCAAACTTCCTACTAATAAAAATAATATTTATTTTGTGTTTATAATGTTTATGAATGTTACGTTCAGAGCAATTACAAAATTACAGACCAAGGCACACACGTCATATTACAGCAGAACCTCCGATGCTACTGTAACTTGAGCACAGTTTACAGTAATTAACCTAAAGCATATGTAACAATATTCAGAGCACTTACACTGAGAGTTGATAGAGGTGGACTGACATAATGTCTCGGTCGGAGCAGCATTGTTGGTGTTAGTGCCATAGGGGTGCCACAAGCCGTCAGCTTGGCACTGAGCAAGGTGTATGGTGCCCCAGCACTCTGCCATCACCACCCCCAACACGGGCACCGCGTTCACAATCCCACACAAGGGGCCCCTGCGGAACATGGAACAGTATTACACACAGAAATCACAATTGCGTGATGCATCAAATGAACAAATCCACAAGGGCCGTGACGAGGATTCGAACCTGCGTCCTAGAGCATCCCAGACGCTCGTCACGGCCCTTGTGGATTTGGTCATGGAACAGTATTTTGACAACTGTGAGGTTTGTCAAGCAGCATAAGAGAATGGTGGAACAGTAAGAGAGTAGAAATTAAGGCATCTTCAGTTAGGAAAATAATCAGGTGTGAGGAAGCGTGACCGAATATCTCGTCCTACTCGGGAATCGAACCCGGGACCATTTAGATACGAGTCGACAGCGTTGAAGCATTACGTCCTAACAAACCTGTCTGGCCGTATTTCGACCAATTGTTTCACTGCTCCAGACAATAGTGGTTAACAAAATGGATTTTAATTTTAATAAATTGTTAATGTACGTAATAGAAAGTCCCTGGGAGGGATTGGAAGGGAAGATATTCCTTCAAAGTGCTATAGAAACATACTGTATTGGCTTTCTCCTGATGATTACCTTATCAACTGCGAGATATTATTAAGTAAATGATAGTTTAGGCCACTCTGGGTTGGTGCTGGACTTGGGTAGCAAGCCACCCACCTAACCTAGACTGAAAACGTAGATATTTGTGAGCACGAACCCCTAACATAGTACCTATTATTTTGCACGTTGGGACTAAAGCATTAGGCGAGAGGATGTGTGGGTGAGCATAACAGAGTAAAAGTCTAAGTACAACTATAATTTTCTTTGTATTTAAAGAAATAAAGACAATTATTCAAATAATGAAAAAGTAATATTGCAAGCAAGAGGTGAGCAAACATAACAATGTTTTATGTTCCCTGAACATAACAATGTTCAGGGAACAAACAATAACAAAGTGTAAACATACCCAGCTGTGCGGACAATCCCTTCCACGTTCCTGCCAAACACAATAAACAATTTCCATTAATATTTCCCCTTAACCGAGTAGAATATATAGAGCCAAAAATATATCAGGTTAAGTTGAATTTGACGAGTGAAAAATACAATGGGACTACACTGCACGAAAAAAAACTTTATAATAGTTGCTTGTTCAGAGGTAAATAAAAATGTATTTGCCAGACAAAGTTCTCGAATACAAAATTATTTTCAAATCTTTAGCAGACCAAAATAATAAAAGACTGCAAATGTAAATCAATCTGATCGTATCTTACAGTAAATCATAAAAATTGTACATGTTTTGCAAATTATAAGGTTTTATCACATAGTCACATGAATAATTAGAATGAACAGTTCAGTTACTCATACAATGTAACACATGCTTCACAAACATGTATTATTTACACACACACACACACACACACACACACACACACACACACACACACACACACACACACACACACACACACCACACACCACACACCACACACCACACACCACACACGCACACACACATTGTGTGTGTATCCGTAATTACCTACATAGTCAACAAGAAACAAGCCAAGATGAAGAGAGAAGTGACTCACACATTGAGCTGCGCCCCGCACGAGAGGACCTCAATGAACACGGCGTCCGACGACCCCTCTACTGGCTGGAGGCTGCACACCACCTCACTCACTGTCAGAGACGGAGGAGAGGTTCACAATATTGCTAACAGATGGCGCAGGACCCAAGAGCGACATGCACTGGCAGTGTGAGGTTCTATAGCCTGGTGGTGTCCAATGGTCATGCATACACAGTATCTAGTTTTCTTGCTGAGAGCTAGGGTTCAGTTCCTGGTCTGGTAAGTGATTATCGTATAAATCTGTATACTGTTGTATGGAACACGTGAATATGTGTGTGTGTAGTCACCTTGTGCCTTCAGGCATTAGCTCTTGGACCCCGCCTTTCTAGCCGTCAGTTAATAATGGACAGTTGTTATGATTTCTGTCCTATTTCGTGTGTATTTACTGTTTCTGCCTACAGAATCTAGCTATTAACTCTTGGACCCCACCTTCATAACAGATTTATTTTGTGCTAAGAGAGAAGTTGTAATCTTGAATTCTTTTCAAGAATCAAGTCATAATTATAAATATCACAGCTGCCAAGCGAACCGTCTTGGATAAAGAAGGTAAAGAAGCACTTCTTCATTCTTCACAGAAATAAAATAAAATGATTAAAAGATTTATCTAGTTGAAGACTTTTAGTAAATATAGTATTGTGCTCTCAAGTCGTGGTGCAATGAAAGGTGTAATACTGCTTCTTAACTCAAAACTTATTTAGTAAATTAATTACCTAAAGCAGAACACCACACTGTGCACAGAACATCACACTGTGCACAGAACACCACACTGTGCACAGAACAGTACACTGTGCACATCATATATGTTCTCAACATCATGTAATAACATTCTACAGTATACCAATCAATGATAATAACACATGCCACAGCACTAAGAGAGTGTACCTACAGTTACCCAACATAAACAGACACGGAGCCTTACCAATCCCGGAGCAAGCTGCTACGTTGTTACAGGGAACACAGAAGTGCTCATAAGGGGTTGGGCACTCGCACATGCCCTGTGCCTTGCACTCACTGGCCACAGGTGGCTCTACTGGGTATGTGATGCCAGGTTTGAAAGTTGATGCAGGTGTTGGTGGTGGTGGTGGTGCAGGCGTTGGTGGTGGTGGGGTTGGTGGGGTTGGCGAGGCAGGTGTGACTAATTTTGGGCTTTCTGTTGTTACAAAAGTGTGTTGAGGGCCACATAACTCCTTGGTCTCGTCAGAAGAATCGATACAGTGGACTGTTCCATCACATTTCTTTTTCTGTTAAAGTACATAAAACACTGAGGCAAACATAGGTGTTATTTTGTCATGTACCATAATATGCATTCCTTGAATCAAATAATATAGAGATTTAATCTTCACAGATGTACGTAGCAAGAAACCACTGAGGTAGCATCTTCACAACAATAAGTAGTTAGTAACCTAGATACAACATATCAGTATCGTGAAGGAAGTGAGAAAGATAATAGGAGACATTACAGAAATTGAAACGGCATAAAACGGGAAAATTATTGGGACAGTTGTCTAACTCCACTGCAAATACAACCCCGAGCAACCTGTCCTCTTTTTAAATGTAAATAACATTTACGGCTGAATTGGCCGTTTGCCGTATGGCCGAAACTGGACGTAATTTGAAAATAAAAAAAAAATTAAAATAAATTTTGGATTTTTTTTTCAAAACAGTAATTTAAGAGTCCTCTGGTAGGTTAGATGGGTAGGAAATTCTCTTTAAGTTTCAAAACGTCATGAAAAATGTCAATTGAAAGTTTCCTCTCCTAACCTTTCCGAGTAAGCCAGAGGACTCAAACAGAAAACGGGACAGTACATCACTTTCGTGAGCCGATTTCATTTAAAATTACGTCCAGTTTTGGCCATAGCGCGCATACAAGCGAAAGGCGACGTTATTTTTAAGAGGACGAGTTGCTCTGAGGATGCTAAGGTGTACTTTAGTAAAGCGCGTTCTTTAACAACATCCTACCCAAGTGAAGAAGAAAATATGAAATATAGGGAGGATTTGTTCTAGAATCATTTATCTAACCTTTTCCAATAACATATAGCCAATAACACTGGCACGCATGTACGCACGCGCACCACACACACACACACACACACACACACACACACACACACACACACACACACACACACACACACACACACACACACACACACACACACACACACACACACATTGTCATACATAATATGACAATGTCAAACCACGAAGGAAGATTTAAGGCAAGAAGTTTCTTAAGTACTTTCGTATTTAATAATACATCTTCAGAAGAAATATTAAATACGAAAATACTTAAGGAATTTCCTGTCTATAATTCCCGTAGAGTATTACCCCGTCGATGCACGCTCCGTATTTGCACTGAAATTTAGTAGAGGTGCATTTTTGATTCTTGCACGCATTAGGCGTCTCGTCAGAGCTGTCGGCACAGTTAGGGTAGCCGTTGCAGGACCAGAGCCTCCTGATGCACGCGCCGTAGTCACAGCGGAATTCCCGCCGGGTACATCTGAAATAATACATTTCATGTAGGTACTCGTCCCAAAACGCATCAGCATTTTTGTATATTATACAATGAAAAATCTTTGGCAATACTCTTGTGTATGTTATAGAATTGATGTTATAGGTTATTGAAAGTTATATGGGGTTTCCTGATGCTTAAAAAAGGCTGTCGTCTACCTTGATATTCATGCATACGACCGTTCTTGTTGTTGAAGATTACGTCACCACAGAAGGTGGCACGGGTATGAATAGCCCCATAGGTGGTAGACTTTTTTTTAGAGTGAATGTGATCTTTGGTTGTGAAAGGATATATTGTGTGTGTGTGTGTGTGTATACGACTGTGAAATTCCATCGTATAATTACCCGGGGACGAGGTGAAGGTGAAGCACCTCATCACTAATGTGCCAATAAGCCCATTACAACTTACCAATCTCTATGTTTCCACGAAGGTTAAGCCAAATAAATTTGTAAAATATGAATGCAATAGACTCACTTTTTAGCTGCACACTGTTGAGCCGTCTCATCAGACTTATCCCAGCAGTCGGTGTGGCCATTACAGAGGAAGTCGAGTGGAATACAGGCGCCGTAGTCACACTTGAACTTAGCAGTGGCGGAGCTTGAAGCGCTCTCCAGGACGTCGGCCAGGTTCCCCAGGTCCCCCACTGGCAGTGACGCGTCGTTCCTAAAATGTTCCCACACGCAACGATATTAATATAGAAGTTCTCGTAAGTGAGGAGTTCAGTCTCCTTAAAAGCTTATTTGAGAAGTGGGAATTGTGGAGGGAAATATATCCCGAATTCTATATATATTCTACCCGAAACGCTGCGCGTCCTAGTGGCTTTACAAGATTGTAAATACTATGTTATGTATTCTCACAAACCCAATGTACCTTCTTGTATTTAAATAAATAAATAAATATATATATACGTGGCCGGGATTCATCAAGCATTTACGCAACCACTTACGAAACCTGTACATCTTACATGGATCATAGCGGCATAATCTGTATTTATTAAAATGTTTACGAACTTGGAAATTTCGTAATACAATGTTTTAATGTTTTGTATACCCTCGTAGTGATTTGGAGCTCAGAAACTATTCAATAAATGTACACTAAACCGTCATGTTTGAGGAAAGATGAACAGGTTTCGTAAGAGGACACGTAAAGGCTTGATGAAGCCTGGTCCCGATAATGGTACCTTATAGCGTGAGGGAACGGTTATGAAAGGGATTAATTAATCGCTTAAAACGATGAACAAAAGATGGCCAACACAAACTTCAGGGGATTGTTTTGGAACGGATAAGAGTGGGGGGCTAGCCCCCCCTGGGTAAAGGTGGGGGGCTATCCCCCTGGGTAAAGGTGGGGGGCTAGCCCCCTGTGTAAAGGTGGGGAGGGGGGCCCTAGGCCCTCGTGTAAATGCAGGGGCAATTTTTTAAACACATTTAGACACATCTGAGGGCTAGACCCCAGCATCACGGTGGGGACCAGACCCCTGTATCCGGGTGTGGGGGACTAGACCCCATTATGATGGTGAGGGGACTAGATCCTCCCCCAGTATGAGGGTGTGTAGGGGACTGGCATACACAAAACACACACACACACACACACCTGCACTGGGTATTAGAGCAGAGTTGCTTGGTCTCGTCAGCGCCGTCAGCACACTCCACCACGCCGTCACAAGCCTCCACACACCTCCCGTCACACATGACCTGCGTCAGTAGGCACTGCGAGGCTGTGAAAGTAACGTTTCTTATTGGTCTTGTGCGAGTACACCTGTGTACTGTAAACACATGTATACACGTAAACTCAGATGTATACGTGGGTCGTCTGCTCCTGTACACCTGGGTACAGGAGTTCGAGTTTAATTCATGTATTGTACACCCCCATACCCATCCTGTGGGCGGTAGTGGAAAGGGGTACAGAGACACATAATGGGCTGAACCCCAAAATTCATTTAGCTAAGCAAGTTACAGTCTTGATGAGCTAGTTACAAAATTCAATGTGGGTACAGGAGCAGACGACTTTTGACTCCTGTTAGTAAGGCCGTATACATGCTGCCCTGCGCTGTAGCTGCCCCTAACCCTTCAAAAACAACTTTACCTTTCTCATAGCTCATGGTAAACTTTACCTCACTAGTTTTCCCTGGAACACGACCCGCCAATCGATTAATAACCAGGTACCAGATGAATAGTTAAGGATTACAGTTAACTCCCTGACCTGGATTCGAACCCAGACTAGATCGGTCGTGAGGCGCGGGGCAAGCGTTACCACTGGGCCACCACGGATGTAAGAAATCACACGCAGTTTAGGGTACATACTTTACTTTTTATGTCTTTATAATTGTGACATGTAGGCCTAATGTGCAGTTGTATATCTCTGAACCCCTAACGGTAATGTTTTAGAAAGATATTTAATATTGATATTTGATAGTGTTACTCCTGTTCTGTTCCTCCACTGTTGCTCTTCCTAACATGTTCTCTTACTAATACAGTGTAATTGATTGTCTCTTGAAAATATTTTATCAAAGTTCCAGTTGAGCTGTAGTAATAGGACTACCTCTCTTCAACCCTTCTCCACCCTGTCCTTCTCTGCTACATTATAACCATATGGAAAGATCACATCCACTATAACACTTTTTAGTTTTGTTTACGCTATTGTGATAATGTATGGTTGGAAAGGTTCCTCGTTAGGCTGGTCTGATCCACTATGTTGTTGTATTGTATTTTCAGTTTGACTTGGCTGTTCTTGTGTGCGGTTTGTGCTGCTAACTTGTCTTGCGTTATTTTTTTTCACTTCCATTCTGTGATTCTCTTCGCTTCCTCCCTGTCATGCCATGACATGTCTTGGCTAATGTACACTGCTTGGTAAGGCTATATGTCCCTCACTTTCCTCCTTTCTAAGAGTAATTATGTTTGCTACAGTGTTCGTAGTAGTGTTGGAGGCAGTGTTTGTGACTGCTATCGGCAAGGGTGGACATGTCCCTGCGCAGCACAAGGTTATCGTAGTCAACAGGACGTAATAGTAATGGGGAGGGGAACTGGTGTGGTGGTGAAGGGGGTAGTGGTTCAGTGGGTAGTGGACTGGTGTGGTGGTGGAAATATATGTGTTTGCTGCTGAGTGGTTTTACTCGGATAGGAATATATGATATTTTGATACCCTTATGGTATAGTTTTCACCCATTCCTAGGTCTCTGGTTCATTTCTTTTCTGGGGCCATATTTCGCAGGGTCGACATCTTATGTGTACTACTCATGAGAACTCTGAAATTGCTGAATAATTTTGGTATAATCACAACTTTGTCATTTGTATGACTCCAGGATATTCTGGGAACCGTCCGCCATAGCCTAACCTACCACCGACACATCTACTGTAATAAACTACATTAATTGTAGCTTGATGAGTGCATTGCATATAGGTAGATTATACATTTCAGCAGAATGCCTGAGATTAGTTTAATCGTTTAACTAGAAGCGTCATATGGTAGAGGCAGCCGACCAGCATCTTGGAAAGGAGAGCAATAAATTAAGAAAATGTAGGAGGTGCCGGAAAGGTTTAATGAGTGGAAGTTATTTTGTGGTGATAGACTTTTGGAGAAATTTCTGCTATGGCCGCCCCCCTCGTGGGAAGATATCGGGAGGGAGTAACACCGCAGCATTATAAATGTGGCCGTAAATACTTTAACCCACGTACAAGTTTTAATTAAGAAAAGCAAACCGTCTCCACTCTTAGCGCCGGAAACAGTGATAGCTGGTGTTCACGGGGGTAGCCTAGCTAGTTTATTATGGTGTTACCAGTCGTTGGGAAGATCACGGGAGACATCTCCCGTCACGCAGGGTGCAGTCGCACCTCCACAGATCTCCAGTATCAGCTCTTGATACTGGTAATGGCTCCAAAGGGCTACCACTATATAACTGAAAACTCACACCCCAGAAGTGACTCGAACCTATACTGCCAGAAGCAATGCATCTAATGTACAGGATCCCTTAACCACTCGACGGTCGGGGGAGTGAACGCCGACCTGCATGAAGTGGGACCGTCATTCTACCGTGGAGCCCAAGTGCTTGGTCATCTGGGGGGAGGGGGGTGAGAGGGGGCTCTCGGCCACCTGCCACAGGTAGTGTCCGGGGATGATATCAACAGTGTTTACAATGCCGCACCTTCATTTAACCTTCGGGTATTTCCAAATTTCCGGATCTATCATAATCACACTTTTATTTGATTGTATGCATCGTACGATAACTTTTAGGTACCCTGGGGCAAAGTGATAGTTAGTCGTGCTTGACAAACTCTGGGTTTTAAAGTAGTAAACACCTCTCTGCCTTAATGACATGGCCGAGCCGTTAAGAGGGTGTCTATTTTTTCTTTGATAATGTAGAAATATGTAGTTATTGCTTCAATAAATTAACTGTCCATCTGTTGATATTTTGTATCGTCTTCGAACTCATTATGACTGTGCCACTAACATGAATCGCATTATTAACCACAGTGTGTATATTCCTTTATATCATATGTCATAATATAGTTTCCTAGGTATGCAGTACCATGCCACTAGTCTCCAGCATGTATGAGGAAGCACAGTTACAGCCATCACTGACGGACAGCTGAAGGTCAAAGTCCGACAAATGATAAACTACCTGGCATATACATTTGGAACATAATACTAGGGGAAATAACAGAAACCTCTAGTGGGAATTATGACATACGTCCGCCACCCCCGCACTTTGCTGTACCTGCTCGTGGAAGCATCATGGAGATGAATGCTGTTAAAAAGAAGAGTCCCAACATGCTTCAGTCACTTGGTGAATGCCTGGCACTAAACACCACTTCGCCACACTGGAGAGGCACCTACTGACTTCACACGCTGACAAACAACTCACGAATGACAGCGTGTGTCACTAAGCCGTGTCAGAAAAGATACTGGGGGCAAATCCTGAATGGTTGACAACAAGGGAGGTTCCTTCAGCTTCACTAGACAGGTTGCCAGATTGCAGCAGCTCTCAATAATATGTACTTAAGAATTATACAAGACAATGTCCATTAAAATACAGCACAACAAGGAATATGTGCGAGAGTACATGAAAATACATCAAACGATAATCACGCTTGCTAATCTGCTTTAGTTGGCCTTCTTAGATGAACTAGAAACGTGACGTTTAAGAATTACAGTGTTAGAAGGATATCTATATTAATAACAATATAAATAATAATATATATTATTAATAGATAATATTTGAGAAGCCTTATCATTGGTTTCAACAATTAATATTAGAAAATGTTCTATTATTATATACGTTATTCTTCCAACATATTACATATAAACGTTGTATTAGTTTATTATGGGTGTGTTGCCACCAGTGGCGCCTAGTTTATTGTGCGCCCCATACTCGTCCTGTGAGCGGTAGTTTATTGTGCGCCCCATACTCATCCTGTGAGCAGTAGTTTATTGTGCACCCCATACTCGTCCTGTGAGCGGTAGTTTATTGTGCGCCCCATACTCGTCCCGTGAGCGGTAGTTTATTGTGCACCCCATACTCGTCCTGTGAGCGGTAGTTTATTGTGCGCCCCATACTCGTCCTGTGAGCGGTAGTTTATTGTGCGCCCCATACTCGTCCTGTGAGCAGTAGTTTATTGTGCGCCCCATACTCGTCCTGTGAGCGGTAGTTTATTGTGCACCCCATACTCATCCTGTGAGCAGTAGTTTATTATGCACCCCATACTCGTCCTGTGAGCGGTAGTTTATTGTGCGCCCCATACTCGTCCTGTGAGCGGTAGTTTATTGTGCACCCCATACTCGTCCTGTGAGTGGTAGTTTATTGTGCACCCCATACTCATCCTGTGAGCAGTAGTTTATTGTGCACCCCATACTCATCCTGTGAGCAGTAGTTTATTGTGCACCCCATACTCGTCCTGTGAGTGGTAGTTTATTGTGCTCCCCATACTCATCCTGTGAGCAGTAGTTTATTGTGCTTCCCATACTCATCCTGTGAGCGGTAGTTTATTGTGCACCCCATACTCATCCTGTGAGCAGTAGTTTATTGTGCACCCCATACTCGTCCTGTGAGCGGTAGTTTATTGTACACCCCATACTCATCCAGTGAGCGTTAGTTTATATTGCACCCCATACTCGTCCTGTGAACGTTAGTTTATTGTGCACCCCATACTCGTCCAGTGAGCGTTAGTTTATTGTGCACCCCATACTCGTCCAGTGAGCGTTAGTTTATTGTGCACCCCATACTCGTCCAGTGAGCAGTAGTTTATTGTGCACCCCATACTCATCCTGTGAGCAGTAGTTTGTGCACCTCATTCTAATTCTGTAAGTAATTTATTGGTAATATATATATATATATATATATATATATATATATATATATATATATATATATATATATATATATATATATATATATATATATATATATATATATATATATATATATATATATATATATATATATATATATATATATATATATATATATATATATATATATATATATATATATATATATATATATAGTTCTACCATATAGTTCTAAACATTGTTTATTAGAAAGTGGCGAAAGAGTCCGCGAAACTGAAGTTTAAAGGTAAACTTCTGTAAACTGACGTAGACCGGCCATAACCTTTCCGAACCGGACATTGACACATCCACTCCCCCGGGGGGAAGGGGGGGAGTATCTGTGAATATCAACAATAAGATCCACTTCTCTCTGATGGTGAACACTGGGGCAGGGTACGGGGCCCTCACTGGACAAAATGTTATGTCGTCCCGTTTATGGATACGGCTCAATGAGATACCCCCCAGCAACTGACCTTCTTCCTCAAGATGTAACTTACAATGGTTAATTCCCCGGGGTATCTATTTACTGTTTGGTGAACAGACGCATCAGGTGAAATAAATCCGTGCCCTAATGTCTCGCTGTTGTTGTTGTTATAGATTCAGCTACTCGGAACAAGTTCCAAGTAGCACGGGCTATGGTGAGCCTGTAACTTACCTGGCACAGGAGCGGGGCAAGTAGCACGGGCTATGGTGAGCCCGTAGTGGACTTAACCTGGCACAGGAGCGGTGCTGAGCCTAGAACTATATGGTTGTGCGTCGACTGCGGTGACCTCATATAGGCATAGGTCATAGAGTAGGTCGTCTCTGGCCTCGATCATATAGTGCGGCAGATATCGTCTGAACTTGACCATATAGTTAATGGTCTAATGATCTCACATAATAAAAATAGTTTGTGCTCTAACAAGGATATGTCATTGAAAACCTTTAGCTAGCGATAAGCATTTTCTACCGTAACGTTTGTACTGTATTTACATCCGTTTTCTGTTCGGGACTGTGACATTCTACTTCCCTAAGGGGACACAACCCGTCCTGCTAATGGCACGTCGTATTTTCTAGTACAAACTGTCGTACTAGCAAATGGTAGCGGCTCGCCAAATTGACATAATGTCAGTTTTCTGTTCGTGGGTTCTTTGGTGGGTTAGGTTAAGGCACTTTAGTACGACAGTTTCTTGACGTTGGTAACACTCGCGAGAACGGTTGTTGTTGTTATAGATTCAGCTACTAGGAACAAGTTCCAAGTAGCACGGGCTATGGTGAGCCCGTAACTTACCTGGCACAGGAGCGGGGCAAGTAGCACGGGCTATGGTGAGCCCGTAACTTACCTGGCACAGGAGCGGGGCAAGTAGCACGGGCTATGGTTAGCCTGGCGAGAACGGGCTGCTTCCCTATAGTGGAAAACCATATACTTAACATAATTACAATCATGCATAGTATATGCAAGGTTATAATCATACATAATACAAGCAAGGTTATAATCATACATAGTATAAGAGTGCCACACAGAGTGCAACCACAGAGTGCAAGTAAGATTACAATCATACATAGTACAAGTTCACTTATAGTCATTGATATTGCAACTGTCAAAGGATTCAGCCAGAGTAGAACAAAATAAGTTATGGTTCCTCATGGTTTCCCATAGTCGGGTCTGATAAGCGTATCGCGGCAAGACACAGAATAGGATGAAGAACACCTGCCAAACACATAACAGGATGAAGAACACCTGCCAGACACATAACAGGATGAATAACACCTGCCAGACACAGAACAGGATGAAGAACACCTGCCAGACACAGAACAGGATGAAGAACACCTGCCAGACACAGAACAGGATGAAGAACACCTGCCAGACACAGAACAGGATGAAGAACACCTGCCAGACACAGAACAGGATGAATAACACCTGCCAGACACAGAACAGGATGAAGAACACCTGCCAGACACAGAACAGGATGAAGAACACCTGCCAGACACAGAACAGGATGAAGAACACCTGCCAGACACAGATGCACAATAACCAATAAACTAAAGTGTGTGCACAATAAACTACAGAGACAGGAAGGACACCCCCTCCCCCCATAGTAGGGGGAGGTTAAGAAGTCTTGAGGGACCAACGGGCGGAGTTAAGGAAGTCACTTCCAGCACCAGTAGATGAGTTCGTGATGGAAGATGAGGTGCTGTACCACCTTGGTAAGGTCGTAGGTATTTGCTACCTACCGCCAGAGGTAAAAACATACTAATTTCATGTGATGGGAAATATGATAGTGTTCTTTCGACAGTTTGGGTCATTTCGTACAGGATTATTTTTTTACGGCTGTTGGCGATGATACATATTCATCTGAAATCAATTTTGTAGATCTGTAGGCGGATTGCCTCTAGGAATGCCTCGGCGTTGTCCAAAACAGCTCTCAGGACGTTGTTGTAACTGATTTTCAATTAGCGGTCCCTCTTACGAGCACTGATTAGTGACTGGGTTTATGGAAAGAGGATGTGTTGAAAGTGCACAACCTTCTCTGATGACTTATGGATGACAAGTGTGCTCACGAGTCATCCTGGCTTATGGGTTCTCACATTACGTAATCTGTTTTAATACTAAGTGGCTGATATTGTACCCTTCAGCCAGTTATACCTCAATACGATATAATGTATCCTGTCCCCCAGTAGTTCCTTGTCACACGTGAGGTGTGCCAGCGGAAGTGATGTCAGAACACTTTCTCATCGTAGAAATATGCATTTCAACACCAAGGAAACGAAATATATGCATGACATAGGGGGGGGGGGTAGATTGATGTCACCCGGGCTATAGTTCCCACGTAACATGACACAGTGGCTACAGCACATATACAATCTTTCTTGTGTTTAAACGTTGAATTTTCATTACTCTATTTTTGTAAGCAAATGTTTTGTAATTGAAATATCTGAGGAAATGGTTGGGAATAATCATTGAGAATGGAGGTGGTTACACGTGAGACGAGCTCGTATGGCGGTGTTACATGTTACTAATAATATATGTTGTAGTACAAGTAATATGTACAGGTAAGAGTACTGCATAGTCAGTAACGGTACTGCATAGTCAGTAACGGTACTGCATAGTCAGTAACGGTAGTATATGGCCAGTAACGTACGGTACTGCATAGGCAAGCCGGCACTATATGTACAGTGTCGTGCTGGCGCCAGACGTCCCAGGAGTTAGCAGGACACAGGAGGAGGTCCGCTTATCTCTGGCCACGTCCTGCCAGCCCGAGGGCACCGTGGACCCTGGCACTCCCAAATTATCCCAGAGCAATGTCAGGATGATATTCACACAAGCAGTTGACTGCCTGCTATTAACGCTCTTTCAAGCAAAGCTAAATATACCTTGAGTGCGTCCCATTTGTTTCAGTGTCTCCGTACGTCTCATGATACAACAAATTATATAGCCTAAAATTCAATTCAGTAAAATGTATATATTTTAAAGTACACATCCAGATGATAATACACCTAGACACTACAATGCACGAGTTTATCGGACTTTAAAGCAGTTATAACCACAAATATATTTTGTATAAAATACACCCCCCCCCATCCCACACTTCCTGCGCAAATTATAATTTAAATCACATTTAGAATGTTTAAATTTTATTAATTCTTTAATTTTTATTGACAATAGAATTTTATTATTATTTAATATACTAATTATTTGTATTATTATTGCACAAAGAAACCACGTTAAGGTGATTATATCAGTGAGAAAATCAGTAGGAGCCTTGAGGTGGATTCGAACCTGCACCCTGGGAATTCTCAGCCACACACGCCTTAGACCACTTAATCACGACATGCTAAAAACAATGAAACCTGGATTCAGTGGAAGCCTCAGGACCCCTAGAGGGTTCAGTTGAATCTAATGTTTCATTGCTTTTAGCATGTCGTGGTTAAGTGGTCTAAGGCGTGTGCTTGGGAGTACCCAATGGATACCAGGGTACGCTATATTCTGAGGGCTTTTTGGGTGTAGCAGTCAGTACTTTGCACTATTTATCTATATTTACATTATCTCATCTATTTTGAAGGTTGGTGTAAAACAGCAGTGTTCTTATGGGAGGCTTTACGCTTAATGTATCTGTTTTGCATTTGTTTTTAGGTTTTGATGATGTAACTAAACTGTATTTGTTGACAATTGTATCAGTAAAATTAAGCCATTTAACACCAGACGCATAAGACTACTAGAGCAGTGTAAAGCACCAAGTCACCTACTGTATGAGAAACATATATAATGGTTGATTAAGGGCCTCCGTCAAGTTTCACCCCCGCTCCTGTGCCGGGTATGTCCATTGCGGGCTCACCATAGCCCGTGCTACTTGGAACTTTTAGTTCCCAGTAGCTGAATCTTAAACAACAACGGCCTCCGCCCTTCAGTCAGCACTTGACCTTCGGCGAGAGAGGATGTACCACTCCTCCAGACTAGTAATCCACAGAGGAGGTGAGAGAACTGGCAAGTCCAGGAGCACTGGCAGGTCCAGGAGCACTGGCCACGCAGGCTTTCTTGAGGCACTGGATAAATCCCGAGGTCTGGTAGGAGACGGGCTCCGGGCAGGTGGTGGCGGCGACGGCCACGGCGGCACCCAGGTCCGGAGGCGACAGGAGTGCCACCTGCGTCACCACGACACTGCGGTCAAGGGTACCATCTGCTGCCAGCTGCCGGAGACATCCAGTTAACAATCATTCTTATTGCGGAAAGAGTAATTAATTATCAAAAGAAGATACCAAGCCGGGAAGACTGTGTAGCGATAAGGAAAGATTATGTATTATCGTGTCCAAGGAAGATAATTTTCATAATTACTATTATACCTGGTGAAAATCTGTTAAATGTATAATTAAATGAATATAATATGTTGTCGTTTTACATAGCTTATATATAACAGAGCCATCGTTCAGTCTTTTAGTTCAGTCAAAACAACCTTAGATTCTTATTATAATATTTTAAGATTATTTGTCCGCCAGGAAGCACCCAAAACACTTTAACTCACCTGGGTTATCACCAACGGTTAATAGCGTTGAAACATATCTGGGTTATTACCAGAGAGAATATGATCGCAACATACAAGATAATGAGGGAATTATACAATGTGGATATCGACAGTCTTTAAATTGGGAGACAGTTGGACGAGAGGACATAAGTGGAAACTGGAAACACAAATGAGTGGAAGGAATGTAAGGAAATGTTCGTACTCTGTACGGGTGATAAATAAATTACATGCACGGAAAGAAGTTGTGGAAGTTATTAGAACATTGGAATAGTTAAATAATAACGCAACACAGCAAGACTAGTGCTCCGACCACTCACCATGTCGGTAGCGTTGAGAACACAGCGCCTGATGACCAGGTTGGCTACGGGATCAGAAGTTGGCCTCTTTCCTAGGCTGCTGGGAACACCGGTCACCACAGCCTTACCTGTGAACAATAAGAGGTTACTCAACATTCTGCTTATTGAAGTACTGTACTCAATAGTACGAAAATTCAATATCTTTAGCATAATTTTCAAGATACATCTCTAGCCAAAGGCTTAAATAATATACAATATAAACTAAACCTTTTGTAAAGTCCGTACTAGGCGTTTTAGCTCACCAATGCTAGAGTAGAAATCAGATTTGAGTGGTACACCTGTTGTGTTAGCACACGCTGTGATGAGGTCAGGTGTGCCTAGTAAGGGTGCCAACAGTCCGTCCAGGGGCGCGCACTGGGCTTGCTTCACCATGCACACTGCTAACGGGTCAGTCTTGGCACACATCGACGCTATAACAAGGCATTATTATGATTACCTCTCTAAATGAAATAATCATTAAGAGTTTAAAATTTAGCTGGTTAAAATTGCGGTTGGATTGCGAAATGTTTTCTGGTCGCAGAAACAAAATTCTGAGTACTAGTATACCTGCATCACCGAAAATTAGCAAGTGGTGAATATGCCATTTTTTCTTTTTCAATTTTGAAAGCGTGGTAGGGGGGTCGTAGGTAATTTTATTATTAGAAAATAGAGTCGCGAGTCTATAAACATTTGGGAAGCACTGATGTACACTACAGTTTTCTATGGATATATTAATCAATATGGCCTCATAATACCACAAAGGCATCTCAGATTTTCCATTCACATGCCCCCCAACTCTTGACTTCTCATGGTGATGTCACGCCATCGCCTGATGTATCTGCACATTAGATAAAAAATATCCGAAGACTAAATTTTGCAGATAAGTGATTGTTGGAGTTTGTAAAGGCTAGTCTAAGATTAGAAAAGATGAACAATCCTAGGATAAAATACAAATTAGGTTAGAATACAGGCTAGGATACAACTATGATATTAGAATAAAATTTAGACTAGTTTACTAGGATAAATACAATTAGGATATTGAAATAAGATGTAGACTAGTAGATTAAGATAAAATGTAGACTAGTGGACTAAGATAAAATGTAGACTAGTAGACTTAAGATAAAATGTAGTGTATTATAAATACAGACTAGAATATTAGGGTAAAATGTAGACTAGGATAAAATACAAAGTAGGATATTTGGATAAAATATCAGACTAGAATACTATGACAAAGCACAGATTTGGTTAAAATACCAATAATAATTAAATATAGATGGCAATAGGTGAACTGAATGTGAATTTCAAGTTTCTTACTTTCCATCCTGGTGGGTCCGGTAGCTGTAACAGCAGCAGTGACAGCTAAAGAAGCCATAAGAACAGCAAGAGTAGAATAGGTCCCCCAGTGTTCATCTGGTCCCAACATCGACCTATTCCTTAGGCACTGCCTTGCCATTGCGCTGTCTAAACGAAAATATTCCAATAAAGGCTTTATTTTCATATCAATTTTATATTATGACTGCTGAGTTCCTTGTCCGAAACTCGGAAAGGAATCACACCGCTAATCACATACTTGTACATCACGCTTGTACAAGTAACAACTTGTACAAATCGTTACAGTTATAATCTGAGTGTTGATTTGAACCTATTATAGTAGTGATATCAACAGACGTATGATTTTTTTTAGTCTAACTCGTTTATTATGGACCCCTTATGCATCCTTGTGGAAAATGACTATATACCATTTATATTTTATCTGAATTTACCTGAGGGGCCACCATATATAGTGACCTCGACGTGGACAGGAAGCCAGCAACTTTTTCAAAGGTCCACCCCTTGTTTCTGGTGATTTTTGTCCAAGTACGTTTTAAACTGAAGTAATGTCTTGGCATTTACGTCTTTTTAGGATATGGGATTCTGCCTTATAGGTGAAAAGTATCTTATGTTCCTTGTTAACTAGTTATAAACTAACTGACGATGTATATACCCCTCATTATACAGGTGATGAGCTGCAGGTGGGAATAGTGACAGTAAGAATACTAGGCGTGTAACGTGGTGATAATTTATACACTTACGATCCAGAGGCTTATAAGGTTTATTATTTTGTTATTGCTGGTTCTAATTGCCAGGGAGCGTATACACTTGCACAGAGCCTCAATACCAAATTCCAAAACATTCACAGCAGTGACCAACCGATTCACCTGACAAGATGGAGGATGTTCTTGATTTGTCGTTTAAAACATACGTCAAACATTCACCCTATCTTAACAACCTTATTCCCCACCACTGGTGTTCATAGTCGGCCCACTTCCTCGCGTCACGTCTGAGATGATTTGTTGTGACTGTACAGTTTCTTTTCTGAATTTAGATTTTACTTTCCAACCCCAGTCGCTGAAATTATTCAGCACAAATCCTTTCTTTTATTAAAAAAAATCACCAGTGGTCTATGTTTTTTAAGCCTGAAATATTAGATTTATCCATTTACACTTACTGATTGTACTTTTCAAGTTCAAATCACTTTATTGAGATAATAAATACATCTCAAAGGATAGAGTAGCTTAGGCTATTTGTACCCTATTGTACTTATGGGTACTGTAAATGTTATATAGACCCTCTCGCGCCGAGTTCTACCTGTATAATACTGCCGTGCTATTGTCTTCACCTCTTATTACGCACGATTGCAATCTTCTGCTTGCCGAGACGACTCTACACCCGTCGAGGTCACTGACAAATGTGAACAAAAATCACGGGAGCTTCGAGCTGTACATTCTAGGAGCGAACATTTGCACCAATCCCAGCTGATTCAAAGACCTTCCAACCAATGGCAAGATAGCATCTTAAAGCCTTTAACCCGAGCGGAGGTCATGAATTCCGTGAAGCGGCTGTGTTTTTAAAATGACCAACTTGCACAAATGCTATTGTAATACGACAGGTGATTATTGTAAGTAAAATGTAATACATTAGGTGAGAGCTGGGGCACGGTGAGGTGAGCAGGGGGGGCTGGCCATGCATACGCTGCCAGCATTATAGGGATTCGAGTGAGTGTAGCCTCCGTCTCTGTCTTGAGGACACGAACAAAGATTAGTGAACAAAAGACAACGAGTCTTAGTTACTGCTTTAGGGATTTGAAGTGGCATATCTTCCGTGAGAGCTGATTCTCACGTGGAAATCAGCAAAACAATATATTTCTTTGTTTTATTCCTTATCGGTTCTAATATATCATCCAGAACCATAAAGCAGCCAGCCGCCTGTTACCAACCATACACATGTGCATCCGAAGTCGCATATGTCTTTATACACACTTGGGCATATATGCATTCACTGTTAATTCTGTACCGGGCATTGTAATCGAATGCTATTTGACACCCATTGCCTTTTATCTCCCGATTATTTGAATATAAATCTCCTAGCAATAAGGGCAAACGACAAACTAAAAAAAATATAAAATTATTAGATGGAGTACCCGGTGGTATCCGGGACACAAACACTCCCCCCCCCCCCCCCTCTTGCAACAAAGAATGCAAAGGAATTGCAACAAATTGAGTTTTAGCGGTTAGGTCTTCGACGTGTTCGGTTCTATGTGTTTATAACTTTGTGGGTGAAAAAATCCATCCATGTTTTGTATTCTTGCATAAAGTTCTTAGTTCTAAATATATAACTATTTATTTACATGAGTTTCTCTGAGGCCCACCATCTCTAGTGAGCTCGAGGGGAACATGAAACGGGCCGGATGTCTAAGGTTTCCCATTGTTCCCGAGGATTTTGATCTGAAGTAATGTATTTGTATTTACAACTATGGAGGACAGGCGGTTGCATGGGTTTATAACACTGTAGATGAAAAAGCATCTTCTATTTTCTGTCCTACATTGTTTAGCTTGAAGCTGTTGCCCCTAGTATGTGTTACATTTGACCTTTTAAAGAAACGGTCTGGATTAATATCCTTCAGTTTGTTCAGCATTTTAAAAGTTTCGATGAGATCAGCGCTGTTATCATGACCCGGATTCACAAAGCCGTTACTCAAGTACTTACGAACGTGTACATCTTTCCTCAATCTTTGACGGCTTTGGTTACATTTATTAAACAGTTTACAAGCATGAAAACTTCCCAATCAACCATTGTTATTGTTATAAACAGCCTCCTGGTGCTTCGGAACTCATTAACTATTTAATATTTGTAAACAAAGCCGCCAAAGATTGAGAAAAGATTACAGGTTCGTAAGTGCTTGCGTAACTGCTTTGTGAATCTGGCCCGGTTTGCAGAGTTGTTAGTCCTATGGCTCTCAACCGTTCCTGGTATGAGAGTCGACATAGTTCTGGGATGATTTTTGTCACTCTGTTTTAAACTTTCCCCAAGGAAGATATGTCCTTTTGAAGACTGTCTCCATTCTTGGATTCAGTAGTCCAAATGGGGCACACCAGAGATTTTCACAATTGAATAACCATTTTCTTTTCCCTTGAAGTTACAAAGTAATTGTAACCTATCCCGGGAGCCGGTTGGCCGAGCGGACAGCACGCTGGACTTGTGATCCTGTGGTCCTGGGTTCGATCCCAGGCGCCGGCAAGAAACAATGGGCAGAGTTTCTTTCACTCTATGCCCCTGTTACCTAGCAGTAAAATAGGTTCCTGGGTGTTAGTCAGCTGTCACGGGCTGCTTCCTGGGGGTGGAGGCCTGGTCGAGGACCGGGCCGCGGGGACACTAAAAAAAAAAAAAAAGCCCCGAAATCATCTCAAGATATCCACCGCTGCCCACTGGATGTGGGGCGGTGTGCAGGACAAACATATCAATTGTGACACTAGCTCTCCACATATGTCAGTTGCTCAATTTATAAACTGTACTTGTGGTCGATCCCGAACCCATTGTTGATGTGACGACTTATATTGAATTTTGTAACTAGCTCATCAAGATTGTAACTTGCTTAGCTAAATGAATTGTGGGGTTCAGTCCCTGAGCCCATTATGTGCCTCTGTAACCCTTTCCACTACCGCCCACAAGATGGGTATGGGGTGCATAATAAATGAACTAAACTAACCTTGAAGTTATAGTTACGTTTGACTAATCCAAGTGTTTTTTTTTTCTTTTTTTTACTGCAGCTCCTACTTGTGCAACAGCCTTGTAAAGCCACTAGCACACACAGCACGCATTGAAAGGGTCCCGGTAGTACAGCCGGGTTCGTTCTCGACGCACAATCAAGAATTTGGGGTTCGAATCCCGGGCGGGGCAGGATACGAACCCAGGCCAAAGCGCTTGCAAAGGGCCGGGCGAGTGCTTTACCACTGCGCCACGGGAACCACAAACAACAAGCTTAGGAGCAGTACATAAGGCACCTGGTGGTTAGGTAACTTGTGAGTTTCATCCTAAAGACAATCACTAACCCATGGGGACCTCCATCAACCTAACAAGTTTCGTATCCTCGAGACAAATTTAATAAGTCAATATTGACTTATTAAATATGTGCATAGGTGACATACTTAACATAATAGATACCCTTAAAAAAATCGCTAGAAAACACCGACCTTACCTAACCTTGTTAGTATCTTAAGATAAGCATCTTATTGCTTCGTAATTACAATTATTACTTAACCTATACCTATTATAGGTTAGGTAATAATTGTAATTACGAAGCAATAAGATGCTTATCTTAAGATACTAACAAGGTTAGGTAAGGTCGGTGTTTTCTATGAATCTTTTTAAGGGTATCTATTATGTTTAGTATATCACCTATGCACGTAGTTAATAAGTCAATATTGACTTTACGAATTTGCGAGAACGGGTTGCTCGAGAATAGACAAACAACTTACTAATATACTTACTATACTATACTTACTAATCTCTCTCATCTCATTTTTTTCTTGCCATGTATCTGTTATCATTTTATTAAATCTGCTAGAATTTACCTACTTAAAATTATCTGTTAGATTAAGGACCTGCCCGAAACGCTGCGTGTACTAGCGGCTTTACAAAATTGTAAATACTATGCTATGTATTCTCTCAAACCCAATGTACCTTCTTGTATATAAATAAATAAAAATAAGAATGTTAAACTTAACGTCTCTGTACTCTCATAAACCCAATGTACCTTCTTGTATATAAATAAATAAATAAATAAAATTTAATATGCTAAAACATTTCCAACCAAAGAAAATGTGAACTCTGGCATGATAACAGAAGCGAGTGTCTGTCGCCAAAACATCAACAAGGACTGAACAATTGGGTACTCCTAGGAGTCGCCGGTAAACGTGTGTGTGGTACAGTAAGGTAAATTTCTCCGACAACCCGTATTCTTATGATATTTAACACATAAATTTCGTGTGGGCTCATGGAATTGTACAGATTTAAACGTTTTGCATGTTCTAATTAACCTTTGGGCAGGGAAATCAAATATGGAGGAGAATTTTGCCAAGAGGTGGTAGTAGTAGGCAGGTATTTATGTATTTTTAATACTGTATACTGTAGTAAACATTTAATTTAATTCTAATGATTTGTTGTTGCAACTCATGATAGCCGTGATTGCCGTGATTGTGGACTTCATGAGGGCAACAATATATAGTACAGTACTGTACATAGTTATATGTTTATCTATCAACAGATTGTGATGAAAAATGAGGATTCAAACCAGACTATATACAAAATGCCAAAACTTGCTGAGGCATTATAGTAATTTCCAGTATAAGCCACATCTTGTTAGGTAAGTAGCAACATTCGTTGTGTATATCTGGTAAGGATATCTTATGGGTCTCACAGGAGTAAATGTTTTCATGCTCCATTTTTTGCAGTGTCCATGTAATATCAGAACACCTTCACATATTGGCTTGAAACTCTCAACACTAATATGTGATGATGCAAAAAGACCCACATACAGAAGGGAGGGGGGAGCATTTTGTTATTTTAAGAATATTCATATTATTGTATGCTCATTATATATGCATGGCATAGTGACTGAGGATATCTCCCTTGATTGGCTGTGACCAAAATTGTTCTAGTTAATTTTTATAGTTACTCCCTGGGAAGCCTGGTAGTAGCATTGCCACTTTATATCTACAGAAATAACACTGTGAACTGGATTGCTATAGAATTTCATAGTATTACGGTATTTAATGCCATCAGCAGGAAGGAATTACACAAGACCATCAAGTGGTTTAATCTAGTGCTATGAATTTGATAACAATCATGGGTTCGTATCCTGGCCGGGGAGGATTTACTGGGCGCAATTCCTTAACTGTAGCCTCTGTTTAACGCAACAGTAAAATGTGTACTTGGATGAAAAAACGATTCTTCGCGGCAGGGGATCGTATTCCAGGGACCATAGGATTAAGGACTTGCCCGAAACGCTACGCGTACTAGTGGCTGTACAAGAATGTAACAACTCTTGTATATATCTCAAAAAAAAAAAAAAACAAAAAAAAAAAAAAAAAACAATTAGTATAAGTGAGTAATATAAATTCTTTTACTTTTCCTCTGAATTTAGGATTTATTAAGTTTATTATCTGCATTGTATCTCATATGATGTTTTGTTTTAGACTTTCATGCATTTACATTAAATCATTGTACCTGATGTTTAAATATTTATTTAGAGATCATTGGGAGCCAGTAGTTGGATTGGAGATCCATGCACAGATCTCATCAGCAACCAAGTTATTCTCCCGTGTTAGTACCAGATATGGGGCTCCTCCAAATACTCAAGTTGGTATATTCGAATCTGCTCATCCCGGAACCTTACCAGTAAGTCAGATATATTTAAGTATCTGCCTTGCATGTTTAAAGATACAAAGCAACTATTGCTGTTTCTGTTTGTTATAAACCAATAATTGTTGTATAAAACCTCTATGCAGTTTGGGGAGGTGAAAAAGTAACAACTGTCAGCATTAGATTGGAATGTTTTATTAGAGGGCTCTGAAATGAAGGCAGACATCTCAATATATTTCTACTTTATAAATTCATTTTTATTTTTTGTTCTTTGTGATAAAGTAAAGTCTTCTCTTAATAGGTACTGAACAGGAGATGTGTTGAAGCAGGGGTAAAGACAGCTTTGGCCTTTGGATGTACTGTCAACAAATGGTCTGCCTTTGATCGAAAGCATTACTTTTACCCTGATCTTCCAGTAAGTAACACATATCTTATAAGACTATATTTTATAGTGTTCACACCATAGGCCTTCACAATTAAAATTCATCTGTTGGAAGTCTCCAATATTACATTATTTTATTTATTAATCTGTGACAAAATATCTCGTTTAGTAAAAGGTTGAGTATTTTGTCACACACAGAAATCACAATTGCGTGATGCATCAAATGAACAAATCCACAAGGGCTGTGACGAGGATTCGAACCTGCGTCCAAGAGCATCCCAGACGCTGCTTGGGATGATCCCAGCATCTCATCCTTGCCTTTATCCTTGCCCACCTTGTTGGCGTCATTATCTTCTTGACTCAAGCACGTTGTGACCGTTGATGTGTTGTTGTTCATTGTCATATACACATCTTTCTATATTCCCACTCGTGCAGTCATCGGGAGGATGTACCTTCATGCAAACTGCACATATTGCGAAGAAGAAAAAAAGAAGAAAATAAGGAAAAAGTAATGTACTGTACTATTGAAGGAAACAGATATTGAATAAAAAAAAGGCAATTAATGCAAAAATGTTGTTTCAATGAAAATGGAGCAGACCACCATCTGGAGGTGCTGAAGTGCATGTCTGTAGTTGAAGTAAAAAGCTGAGTGGGAGACAGGACACCATATGCATCCCATACAATATTGTTTGTTTGGACAACTGAACTGTCTACAGTTAATATGCATATGAAGTTCAGAGACTATTCTGCATTTGAGTATTGTTTGCTGGTTTATTTTTGTAATTATATAACTTTATATACCACCGGGAAATGCTGTAATTAGTTATGATTACTTACTAACCATCACCTGCTTCAGGTGTTTGGCATTACAGTTTTCACGACTTACGATAATTTCGAGTTACGATGTAAGTGTGATCGAAAAATGCGACTCGACTTATGATAGTGTGGTCGACTAACTATATTTCTTGGTACACGTTTGGGTCGACCGAGCATGTGGTTCCTGGTTACGTGGGCTGACCTGCCTCAGTTTACTAGAGCTGCCCGCTTAGTGACAATCACGCCTATAAGAAAGTTAGTTTTTGTGGTGATTTTGTGCTTTTTGAACATAAAACTGATTATTATATATCATGCCATGGGTCCCAAGAAAGTCAGTGGTAAGGTTCAACATATGAAAAGACATGTAAGAATGACCATAGAGGAAAACAAGAGGTCATATGTAAACATGAAAATGGTACAGGTACTAGTGTTGTTGAACTAGCTAGGTAGTACTGTACAATAAATCTTCAGAGGAGGCGGCGGCGGCATTAGAGGATGTCCCTTATTAATTAAGAAAATGTGTGCAGTATGGGAAGGACTGCAAAGTTTTGCTGAAAAGAATCACCCAGATAAAGCTGTAACAGCCCATTGCATTGATCTTTTTAATGACAATGTGATGCCTCACTACAGACAAGTGTTGGAAAGAAGGGAAAAATAATCTTCAATGGAACGATTTCTAGTGAGAAAATCAAGCAGTGAGCCAAAAGCAGGTCCTAGTGGCATGCAGGCAAAATGTCCCAGTGTGTGTACCCCAGAGAAGTCCTCACTGCCTGATGTTATAATAGAAGGGGACTCCCCTTCCAAACAGTAACACCTCTCCTCTCCCCTCTTCACCATCTTCCATATGCCATCAAGAGTCCTCCATAAAGGTAAGATAAACATATGTACTGTATTGTAGTTAGAGAATTTTTTTTATTCAGTATAAAATGTATTTGTAAGTTAATATTTTGGAGGGTGGGGAACGGATTAATTCAATTTCCTTTATTTCTTATGGGAAAAATCGCTTCAATTTACGATCCGTCTCTGGGAATGGATTACCATCGTAAATCGAGGCCCCACTGTACTAACAATGCATATGCATGTAAATAAATAGAAACAAGTGATGAACAATCAATGAAACATCCAAGGAGAATACAGGAGTCGTGTCTCGGATACCTCAGTGTCAGCAAAGTCTGCATCGTATGATGACAAACACCTGACCGCATGCCCACCGTGCCCCCTATCACAGCTCTTTCACATGGTAGAAAGGTACACATTGATATATTTTTTATGTTTTTCTTACATTTTGCATACAATTTAATAATTCTATGCCGAAAAATTATTTTTGCAGTTTTTGCATAAAGGCGGGTGTGACCATTTTTCAATAGCTGTATATTGAGAGTTTAACAAATATGTTAATGCATGCATTAGATGGTTTGTTTGAATCCCAACTCAAAACAGTGTACAGTATTTGAATCTAATGTACGGGTGGGGATACCTTATATATTAATTATGGTAAATAATAGCTGGAACACATACAAGATATAGAAGGCACTTCTTCAAATACAAGAGGGAAATTGGGGGGGGGGGGTCACAAACCACTTTCTTTGTGACAACACTATGTGGTGGTTTGGCGGGATCCCTGATCTGGGTGTTTGATATGTTTGCTGTTTTGATTACTTTGGCATTTTATCCATGGCTGATAATTGGGCTCAGGACCTCTGGCAAACCTTCTACTGATGAATTTACATTTCTTGTTTGATGTCCATGTATTCTGGTGTTATTCTCCCATGGTGCAACCCAGTCCACCTTTTCTGTTTTTCAATAAGGCTGGCCTCTTTCAAGATGCCATAGTGTGAGTTAGCTCAGGGTGCTACCAAGGAGTATCTTCCTGAAATAGGTCCTTGTCTGTTCCCTTCTTTCCCATGGGGTATGGGATTTTTGCACAGGTGGCTCCAGAGTGTGAGACAGGCTGGCTAAAACCTCTGGTAACCTGTACATGTCATAAGTTGCACAAAGTGTTCATACTTTTTATTCACTCATTATAATAGAAAATACATTACATATTAAAAACAAGCAATTCAGGTATTAATTTGTACAGTAGTACAGTATCTAGGATGTGTTTTCATGTATGGAATCATAATTTTATATTCTTGTAAAGGCTGTATTAATTTTAAATTTGTATATGTTTAGGGTACTTGTGGATCTAAATCGAGCAGGCCAACCATTGATGGAACTTGTGTTTGCACCTGGACTGCATAATGGGGAAGAAGCTGTTGCCATGGTCAAAGAGGTTGCCTTAATTCTTACTAGAATAGGCACTTGTAACTGTCGGATGCATGGTGAGTGCAATATTTTTCGAAAATATAAACCTACTTTTTGTTGTGAAACAAAATTAAAACAAAGAAATGAAGCTTCTTTATTTAGTCTGATTTTATTTCATAAATTGTATGAGAAATTATCATTCACCGCCACTCCAGATTACTCTTCCGCTTGCTCCTTCATTACCTTCAGAATTATCAGTTAATGTTATTTCTCTAGTTTCCACTTTTCTTACAATAGGTACCTGCTCTAGGAGTCATATGTTTTAGCATTTCCTAATGTTACCTGTATTAAACTTGGTGCATTTATATGTACTGTACTCTATGTACAATAACCAAAGACTGATATTTATATAGAGTTTTCTGTAGAGTAATGCAACTAATTCCTCTGAGCTTCAGCAGTAGCCGGGGAAAAGTAAAAAAATTTCAGTTTGGCAGCAGGATGCTGTTTCTAGAAACTTTCATTATTAAGACTACTCATAGCCCAGTTGATAGAGCTTTGGCCTCATGTGTGGGGTCTACGGTTCGAGACCCAAACAGCCCAGGTGAATGGAAAGTAATGCAAATACTGTACTTGCAGAAATATCTTGGATACTTTATAGTCCTTCAGAGATAAGCCTACCAATCACATTTGAGCTTGATTTTGTGACTAATCAGAATGCAGCTTAGAAATAATTATTTACATGGAGAACTTCAGACATGGCCGGTGTCATTACTTTCCGTGGTGGGAGAGCTTATTTAGCTCAAATAAGAGTTGTAACTGCATGCTCCAAGAGAATGAAACATCAGGACAAATAGCAGAACTCTTGTGTATGGCCCTACCTTTGCTCGTGTTTAACTTCTTCAAAGTGAAAAGTTAAAGTCGCGGCATTAACAATTTGTTTGTCAATCTAATGAAACTATTAGTGGTACTATTGTTTTATAATGTAGTGTGCGCAGGCGATAAGTCGCAATGACATGGCAGAAATTGAACACCCAGCTCATAAATTGCAAAATAAAAGAATTTATGATATTTCTGTCTCTCCTGGACAGACCGTAATGTCATCAGTTTTTATTTTCAGATTGGTTAGTTGGTAAACTGGTTGTTGCATGGTGGTTCTGTTTGTTTTACATTCTTCATAGGTTGGAGTAGTCATCACAACAACTGGGTAGGAAGTTGAGTTGAGAAAAGAGAAAGTAGCAAACTAAGAGGAACAACCAAACCACCAGGACAGGAGTTATTTGGTTGTTCATTGTTCCAAAAGCATGGTATAAACTGACTCACAAATGTGCAAAATTTCCAGAAGTGATCCTACACTTTAAATAATTTTTCCAGTCTACCTATTTTCACATAGTTATCTTTGTATAGTTTTTATATTATCAATTTCCTTTTAACACTTAACCTGGCCCGGCACACGACCCCCAATACACCCCAAGGTCGGCCAAGTGTTTCCCCGTGAACGCGCACCCGCACTAAAATGTTTATACTTTTTTTTCAGTTTCCCCACCTCAATTTCCATGCTACGTCGCTCATTTTGGTATCAAATTGTTCAATATCAAATTGGTATCAATAGAATTCTCTAAAATGATATATGCATATAAGGTCAAAAGGCCCGGCGCGCCACCCAAAGCAAACCCCAAAATTGGCTGAGCGTTACCCATGAACAAGCACCTATCCGTACACCCCCAACACCCGCACTCTTTTCATTTTTCTCACCTCAATTTTCGTGTTACATTGCTCATTTTGGTATCAATTTGTTAAAATAAATATACAGTACTTTTAATGTGCCTGATATATTTCACTAAGCCCAAATATAGCATTCTCCAAAAGGTTGGGTAACTGAATACAAAAGATTAAAATAGTAATACATAGTTCATGCAAGTATTGTCAGAGGAGAGGTGGTTACTCTGTATAGAGGAAGGATTAATCAGGTCCTGCATTCTTATTGATCAGTTGGGACTTGCTTCAGTGCTCTGGGCTTTAAATTGGTCATGGCAGAGGTAGTTTAATTGTACTCCTGTAGTTAGCAGAATATCAATTTGCATTGGAATATCAGTTTGCATTCATTGTATATTTGATTTGCATTTGCAGGAGCTCTTGTGGATATTGCTCCACCTTATGTATGATAGCGAGCTGGTCTCTCAGTGGAGGCTTAATTAAGTTGGACTTGCCAGTGTCCCCTGTTCCCTCACTTTGCTAGCATGACCATTTACAAACATTCTTGTTGGACTAGTATTTAAGGTCATGAAACTCTGGCATTGAGATAAGTCCTTGGTGGACCATAATGGCTCTGGTTCAAAGTTTCAGGAATGAGTGTATCGCCATACTCAAAATCTTTTCTATCACCTGATGTCCACAAGAAACAGCTTTGTTTGGGGAAGGAGTCCTACATCTTGTGAAGAATAATTTTTTTTTCCAGTTAAGTTTGTAAATATGCTTGATACAGAATTATCAATAGAGATACAGTACTAAGTTAGATAATATGTTAGGTTCAGAATCAAGAACACATGAAAATGGCACAGTATTTATAATTTACACATCATAATTTTGAATCATCTACTGTATATTGCCCGAAACACTATGTGTATTAGTGGCTTTAGGTATTGTGTGTACTAGCTCTATCAATAAATCCAACAGTATGTTTGTAACTCTGCATCCTTATATGTTCTTTTCCTAAATAAAATATTATTATTATTATTATTATTATTATATTTAACAGAGGGATCTCTTCGAGTGGATGCAAACATTTCAGTTCACAGACCTGATGAACCTTTGGGAACCAGGACTGAAGTGAAGAATCTGAATTCCATTCGGTCTTTGGTAAGTCAAGTTATATATTGAGTGTTGTATACTGTTCTTGTAATACAGTACTAGTATGGTACAGGACAATAATATGAGTAGCTCATTACTGTACTAGGAGGATAAATGGTTTTAGGATACGTTTGCTTCTTGGCATTTTTAGCTCTTCAAAAGTACTCTTCAGTAACATGTATTAAAAAAATTGACACCAAACTTCTCATGTATTTACTGCTGTATTCATTTTACCCCTTTAGAACCTCCTGGTAGCTGGATGTTAATTAATAATAAGTCATTGTGTTGTGGGACAGGCAGTCACTTAATACTGGCTTCCTGTCACCCTGCCTGGACCCTGACAGCCAGGGTCCCGGTAGTACAGTTGGGTTCATTCACAACTCACAATCAAGAATTACTGATTTGAATCCCGGGTGGGACAGAAATGGTTGGGCGCATTTCCTATCAACTAATGCTCGGTTCATCTAGCAGCAAATAGGTACTCAGGAGTTATCCAGCTTGTTATGGGGTTGCATCCTGGGCAGGGTCAGTAATTCTCCCATGGGAAGGGACCTTGATATAAGCCTACCATATATAAATACACTCTGGCTTCCTGTCCCCCGCAATACAGTGAATTATTATTATAAATTATCAGTGTGTGGCATTGGGTTAGCTCTCCCTCTGTCATGATTGGGTTTCCCATTGTTGGGAACAGGAAGTCTTTTAGGCTTATAGAGCTCCCCTTAGGCCATTGACTGGCCTTCCCCAAGATATGACACGATAATTATCTAATTCCCATATACAGTACCTATTTACTGTTAGGTGAACAGAGGCATCAGGTGTAAGGAAACTGTCCCAAATGTCTCATCCTGTTGTGTATGTTAGCCAGGGTAAAAAAAATGCTGCACCCTTTTAATAAATATTAGTGTACTTTTATAGTACACTATCTCTCCAGAATTTTATTATGTTTTCTTTAAAGCTACTCATTCAATGTTGCACACTTCCATTTGTTTTGTAAATCTACTTCCTCTTCCTGCCATGCACTTCTCATTCTTCACCAGTTTGTGTTACTCCATACACCAGCTTAGTATTCATTCCCAAACAATACTTGTGTACACCCCCATAACTTTAAGGTTTATCTGTTCACAGCCTTGATCTCCAAGATTGCTATCAGCTCTTTTGTATTTATAAGAATTTTTTTTCTCTCTTATCCTCTCAACTTAAATAATTTCACTATATATGTCTTTGTGATGCACCATCTTCCATCTTATCTTGCATCACTATCATTTGATCGAACAATTCTGTATACAGTGTAATATGAATTATGGAATGGTATAAACAGGTGCTGCCTCGCATGGGCCAATAAGCCTTCTGAGATTATTTAATGTATTCTTAGATTTCTTATGTTCTTTGCAGTCGAAAGCAGTTGACTTTGAAATTCAACGCCAAATAAATATTTTGGAATCTGGTGGAAGAATAATCAATGAAACACGAAGCTTTGATACACTCTCCAATGAAACCATTAGCATGAGAGATAAAGAAGTCACTCAGGTATTGTCTTGATATATAGCTAGTATAAATATAGATCAAAATAGATGAAATGCTGAAAATTTTATAGATACTCAAATATAAACCACTCCATAGAATTTGTGAAAAGTGGTGTAAAAATAAATCCTTGTATGGATTCAGCTGCTGTATAAAAATTAGAAAAATTGTTAAAAAAAGTAAACAATTGTTATTAGAAATGAAGATCTATAAGCATAATGTGTGGTCTTCTTTTTTCCTAGAGACAACTACATTAAATTTGTTGAGATTACCTTATGCAGTAGTTCATAAATCAAATGTTAACAAAGGCAGCTTTACATCATGATAATATTTGTGCTGAAATCCAGTCTCTTAGAAAAATAGGGCTTTCAGTTACTGTATATAAAATGTTTGTTTATGAGCCTGTCCCTCGGTAATTCATCCAGGAGAGTATTGTATATGACAGGTTCTGTTGGTTTTCACTTCCATCATGGCAAGTATTTTTACAGTTGGTTTTGTCATATACAGTTATTTGAAGATGTACACTCGAGATTTCTCAATCCACCACTGAGCAACCACTCGCTAGGGTAAAGTCGCTTGTCTCCAGGCAGTTGCCAGTCTACAGACATCGGCACTGAAAAAACCTTACAGCAGAAACAGGTTGGAGATGGATGAGCAGCATAATTATAAATGTAAGGTCTAGGAGTGTAGGGAGGATGAAGAGTGAAAACACCCAAGTAAGCAGTCCCAAAAATGAAAGTGGCTGACTGCACCATTGCACAGAGACACCAAAGGTGGAAGCAGTGCTCGACAAGCTCCTTGTAGAAGAAGCAAGATAATCTTTAACCAAGGTATTAGGGACATAGCCCAAAAACAAATGCCAAGACCAGACAAGCCCAAACTGAGCACAGGCCTCAAAAAAGTTAAATTCTAGAAAGGAATCAGGCAAAAACTAGATCAGGACCCAGGTACCCCAGCAATAAACAAACACCAAAAATGGGCATGAAAAACGGATAGCTGAGCAAGCAGACGAATGCAAATACCACCAAGCGTAATAAGTCCAGCACACTGCATACTCTACGAACTGGGGAAAGATTGCACATAGAGTTGCAAAGCTTGCTCAAGAGTAAAGGCAAGAGGGCAGGATTTAGGTAAAGGACCTGTGCATTAGGAACAGCTGATAGAAATAAGAACTCTACTGTATAGCCCTGTACGGGACAGAATCAGACCAAAGTACACATGCAGGAGAACAACTGAAACTCAAGAAAAGCATGGAAAAAATGCCAGGGAGAAGAACATAGAACACCAGCCATGCCCCGAACTGAACCCAAACCTCGTAAGTCTGGACAAGGTGCAGGCAGGGTCCAACCAGGGAAGCCCTGGAACAGTGAGACCCAGAAGGAAAGCCAGTGAAAGCTACTTAATCCAAATGCCACAAAGGTAGTCTTAGGTTCTTCTAAATACAACCAAAGGCCAAAAGAAACCTTGAACTGGCCAGAGCACTCCAGTCATGCATCCACGAGAGTGTACAACACAAGAGAGCAACAGCAAAGAAAAACTTAGGAAAACCTATGTCCCAAGGTGAAGAGATGCCATGTTACAGTCAACAGCAGAGTTGCTGGCTAAGAAACAAGCATCATAGAAGATAAACTCATTCCCAAAGCTAGAACCTGAAGAGAAAACCTAGTGGCAAAAAAGTACCCTAACCAAAAACCCATTGCCAAAAGGCAGGAAATGCCAATGGTAGTCTGGAGCAAAAGAAAAAAAAGAAAAAGGAGTTTAATGACTGCTTTTTTTTAAGTAAAATGTGGAGAAGGCAAGTCACAAAATCATGCAATGGAGTCACTGTGACATCTTCCTACAAAATGTGTGTAGGACCCCCAGCCTACAGTCAAGTTCAAGGCACCATCAAGAATGTGGAACAACTGGAGATGAGCTAAATTACACTGAAATCCCACAAAAACAGCACCAGAGACGAGAACTTCAAAAGCTGTGGGAGTTCAACAATCAGTACCATAAATCTCCAAAGAAGCTGAAAAGGGAGCTGAATCCAGTCACAGGCATTGACTGGGTTTCCACTCATGTAAAATTCACATTAAATCATGAAATCCTCTGTGAATCCTTAGTGGACAAACCAGACAAAGTAATTTGCCTGAATTTGGTTGATACACAGCTGGAATATAGTGATGAGTATACTCCAGGCACAAAATTATGTCTACCAGCTAAGTAGTTAACTTAGTAGTTAGCATAAATAATTGTTTTCTTGCATATTTATAGGTCTTTGTAAAAGGTGTTGAGTTTCTCTATTTTCTCTTTTGTTTTGTTACAAGCAATTCCTTCGTAGTTGATTGAATACCCTTTACCTAAGCTTAATTACTTATTTATTTCTTAAGATTAATTACTTATTTATTTAATTCTTAAGGTAAATTACATGACAAGACCAATTGCAAAGATGCTTCTCATAGGATGGTAAAAGTTAACAAAGCCTAGCAGATCTGACAATGTCCTAGGCGGACCATAGGATCTGGCTCATGGAGCAACTGATGTAGCCCTATCCTAGAAATTAGGCATCCAGTGTGATCATGAAATATAAATCTTAAAATTTAAAAACCCTGGATATGCAAATCCATAATGCAACTTAGAGCTTTCTTGTTAATTAGTTACTTTGCAGATGTGTGTTAGGTAAATACTAAGAAAATTATTGTCTTTCAGGATTACCGCTTCATGCCTGAACCAAACCTGCTTCCACTCCGTCTTCATGATTCCTTAGAACCCACCTGCCAGTATGATGGATCTCTTGATATTAATGACGTTCGTGCCACAATGCCAGAGCTACCTGAAGCTACTAGACAAAGATTGATGAGTGATTATGAAGTCACTCTAGAGAATGCTATTTTGCTTGTAGTAAGTTAAGCATCTGTATAAGTTATAATTTTATAACCCGCTGTTAGGGGTACATTACGGTTATCACAGATATTTTGTTTAGGTTTTCCTCTCGGATGTTTCCAAGACAAGATAACCAAGTGTTCGTACTAACAGCATGAGCCTATTGTGATTGTTGCCGCAAGAGGCAGCTAGTTTATTGTGCACTCCATACTCATCCTGTGAGCGGTAACACAGAAAGGATTACAAAAGGCAGAAAAGAGCTTTATCAGACCTCAATGGAGATTATTACATTAACAATTGTATCTATCCTGCACACCTTATTATGTCAGCTAGTTACAGAAATTGCTCCCATTTCAATAGCTATGTACAATATTTACAATTAAGCATTATTCATTAATGGTAAGTCTTTTTGCTAATCCTTTGCTGGTGTAGCTATGGAGGTATTACAGGGATCATAGAAAAGCTGCTGTTTATTATTATTAGTCTTCACACTACACTGCTTGTTTCTTAATCTCGTGTGTCATCTATCTACTTGTAGCGAAACATGGATACATTGAAAGGATTTCAGATATTTTGTCCTTAGTAGTAAGATTGTTTATCATTTCATGCAGCATTAGTTTAGATTTATCTCTAAATGGCTCAATTTAGACATAAAATCATAATTAGACTGTGATTTGATCACAGTCCAAGACGTAATGTTCTAATGTGTGTCCCTGGCTTTGTCCACATGCTTTACACTTTACTTCATCTAGATGAAGTAAGATGACTTAGAACACCTAGGTCGGCATTCCATCCCCGACCGTTTGAGTGATTGGGCACCATTCCCTTCCCATGTCCCATCCCAAATCCTTATCATGACCCCTTCCAAGTGCTATATAGTCATAATGGCTTGATGCTTTCCCTAGATAATTTCCTCCCCCCCCCCCCCCCCCCTCCCCCTTCATCTAGTTCCCTATACAAACTGAACTGCCAGAGATATTTGTCGGCAAGTTTGTATTCAAGCTGTGACAATGACTATTAGTCTGCTGATTAATTTGACGGTTGAAAGGAAAGGGGTTAGAGTACAGTATCTTACTCGGGTCATTAGCATCGAGCACACTCTGGATTGACTCAGTGTAACCACTAGAGAATTATTTTGGAAAGGTAAACTTTGGACCTTGAGAGCATAGAATAGGGATGAAGTGAGTGAATGTGTGTACACTCCCAAAGAGCCTCGAGATACCATTAAATGACAGACCGAACAGAAAGTTCATTGGAAAAAAGGGGTTAAACTGAGCCAACCAAGAGCATGCCCCATTCTCATAGCCCGATTAAAATACTGTACTTTAACCTCTTTCTTTTCAACATTAGATTTGCTAATATCAGGACCCTGGGTATTTGTAAATACCCATGGTATCTGATATCTTGCAATCAGATGCAAGATATCAGATACCTACCTGATTTTCAATATCCTTGTCACAGCTGTGGCAAGAGCCAGGATGGAAAGCTTGTGACCCACTTTTCATTGAGAATTAAAGCAGAGGCTGCAGGTGGAGAAACTGACCACAGGAATCATACGATAAAGACCCACTTGGCCCATCCAGGATATGAAGCTCACCCATACAATTCCTAGATGCTAAGGCCAAGCACTAAAACAAGAATACAATAAAAAGTTTAACACAACATCAAAGGACCAGGTTCCGAGTGGCAGGAACACTCCAACTTGATGCCCCAAACCATTCCCGGCCACTGATTTCAATGAGCTGGTGAGATTGGGTCTTTAGAAAATTAATTATATGCTTGAACCATCAATACATGCTGAAAACCTTTCCCAGGCTGGCACGATTCTATCCAATGAGACCAGAAATGTAATTTTGCACTTGGAGCATTCAGTTATCCCATTTCGTTAGGGAAACCAGATATGAACAATTTTGTTACAATTAATATTCCAGAAATTTTATTGCAAACTTTTAAAACATTAACATTTTTCAGAATAACGGTGATCTTCTAGACTACTATATGGCAGCAATGGCAGTCTCTAACCGCAGCTCCCGTCTAGTTTGCAACCTTTTGCTTAATAACTTGATGGGATTTCTAAATAGCATCAATGCAGACATAAAAGATAGGTATAGTACATTGAATTTATTTTTTATTTTTTAATCTCCTTATAGATTTATCCAGAAAGCTATTTCTGAGCTAAGTCCTTCTGAATGCTCCCTTGAGCCATGAGTCATTGGGTATCCGAGACAATATTGTACAACACTGCTAGGCTTCAATGAGCTCCTCACAAAGCTTGGGAAGGATCTTTGCAAATGGCCTTTATTATAAGTGAGTTAGGTATACCGAATATTGTAACACATAGTAACAAACACTAATTAATGATTCTGAAATTGTCATTACCGACATAGCTTCCTGCTGCTACTATTACGTGCTGCATCTTATGTGTAAAAATGAGTGACAAATTTTACTGTAGTGATCACTGTACCCCTGTATTATTAACCAAAGAAATATTACACCCTAGTTTAATTTAGTTTACAGAGCTGTTTTCTTCTATGTATTGGGATAAATGATACAGGCATTTACACACTCCACCTCCCCCACACCCTCCATCTCTTCCCCCCACACCCTCCATCTATCCCCCACACCCTCCATCTATCTCCCACACCCTCCATCTATCTCCCACACCCTCCATCTCCCCCTCCCCCAACTCCCACTCATATCTCCTCCCTCCATCTTCCCTGGCTCCTCTCCCCCATTCATCCCCTGCCCCTCTCTCTTTCTCTCTTAGACAGGCACAAAGCAAATAGGTCTAATTAGGATTATTACTTTACAAACTAGTTTTTCTTCAGTCCTCTTTCAGCATCAGCCTTTGGAGAAATTGTTGACCTACAGCAGAGTGGCCAGATCTCAAATACTGTATCCAACCTGGTGATGAATGCCATATGTATTGAAGGAGACCTGCGAGCTCCTACTCAGGTAAAGGAACTCATTTCATATGAATTAATTTCAGTGTCAATAAATGATTAAACTATCTTTGAGAAGCGAGGGAGGGGAGTACATATATGTATTTGTGAGCATTGAAATCCAAATTTTTGTTTCACTTATGAATTGATTGTTTAGTATGTAGTCTCCCAAACTCATTGTCTTTTATTATGTATATAATTTGAATTTATGTATAGTTTGCTTCAACTGCTTCCTCCCTAAAGCATTCTGCTGACACACTACCTGTAATTACCTAATTGTAATATACAGGATGAGAGCTATGCTTTTGGTGCCTCATCTACCCTAATATCTTTAGCATGTGACATTTTGAAGCTCTCAATAATTTGGGCATACCTGTAGTACAGTGGTTTGCACAGTAATTTCAAAACTGATAGGATCCCAACTTCAGTGCCTAGTCAGAGTGAGACATTTGAGTACGTTGCCAACAGTATTATTAATGAACTGAATGAATGTTTACATTCACTCATCTATCATATAATAATTGCAACAGACTTTTATAATGATATATAGTACACTGGGCTAATCGTTTAATCTATATATTCACTTGTTCTCTTAGAGTTGTACACTCCAAGATGGTGATAATAAGTTACCAGAAAGCAATAATGTACTTACATATCCATTAGATCATAAGTAGAAAATAAACACTATTAAAGTATGTAAAACAATACTAGTGTTGTCATATTTTAGAAAATTAATGCTGAATAATTCTGATGGGATGTCTCATGGGGCAAAATGCAACATTACACAATAATTATGATGAAAACTGATAGGATTGTCACTGACCGTGAGGAGCCAACTGGGCCACAGAAAAGGCTCGCTTCCACACAATAAATATTTAATGTTAAATCTGAAAGTTATGACCACTGTATTTGTACAGCAAAATATAAATCCTAATCTTATATAGGTCGGTGTAAACTGGATAAGTGTATACGTGTTTATAGATATCACAGTTAAAATACATGTCTATGGGAATTTAGCAACTTGCCTAAAGATGATTGATCACTTTTCTTGGGTAACCATGACCTGGATATATTAATCACATGAGCCACCAAGAAAGAAACAAAATGTGTTGAGTTTTACTTAATACAACTTAAAGATCCAATCTGGATATAACTTTGGATCTCTTCTAAACAAAAGACAATCTAACAATCACTTCTCCAAGAAATATGTAGCTAGTCACCTTGCTAGATAATATTAATAATAACAATAATAATATTTAATGATTCAACTAAACTGGTGTGTTATTGTTCCTTTAAATTAGACTAACTCCTATAAAAAAAACTACTTATCATGAATGAATCACTACACATAACACTGGCAACTGCTTATCATAATAACGTCATCATGGGTCACATATCCTCAGGTTCACCTAATCATTCTCTTTAAAGATGACATGCAAGCTTTCACACAGGTGTTATCTGTGACAATATGTTTCCGTTTCTTCAGGTGGCTTTCAATGGCCTCGCTTCACTGATTGTACAGCGTATTATGTACACAGTTGATCAGTGTATTCACTGATTATGTTTACTCATGTGTAGGAACACTACTTGGTTTGTAAATTTTGGGTGCTGTAAGTGACTTCTTAGGATTGTTTGGTTGTTACCGATTTCCACCACTCTTTCATAGCTCAGGGCAACATATTGTACTTACTGTTTGGGCCAATAGGAGTCTGAAAAGTCATAGCTTATTCTCTTCTGGTATGAATCCTGAATTTGTATTAGGTTACACTATCAATGACTGGAGGACAAAGCCAACTTGCCTTCTATTAGTAAACTTTAAATCATAACCATGATGGGTCCTTATACAGTATAGTGTACTGTATAATCTAACCATGACAAATGATTCCAGGTATTTCATAGCATATGTTCAAAATTGTTCTTGTGTTATGGAACACATGTTTGTCTCCTTAAGCCAAAGGAACATTGTTTTGCTTTAATTGGTAAGAGGATGCTATGAAGTTCCTCATTGCTCAGCTGTTTAGTAATGTAACCCATTGGTAGTGGTAAATGAGGTACTACTAATGATGAACATAGATTTTAATAATTAGCCTTTGCAGTTTAGGGCACTGATGAGGTATTTGATAATTGGGAAGCTAATTGTTTGTTCTAAAGCACTTAAATTCTTATTTGAAAAGTGTTGATTCTTTTCTTTTCTTTTCAGATTGTGATTGATAATAACTGGTTCCAGCTCTCGGCTGAAGATGCCCTGGAAGAGATTGTTGATAAGGTTTTGAGTGAAAATGGACAGCTGGTTAGTAATTATTCAGCTGGAACTTGATCTTGCATTTAAATTCTTTTCTCTAATACTGTGTACAAAACAGTATGTATATGTTAATAGCTCTTGTAATTTATAATACAGTACAGTATTGTAATAGTAGATTATTCCTGATACAAATTTGTGCATTATTTTGATGTTTGTGATGGTTTCAAATAGATGATAAATGATGTTCAGCCATACTACTGGGAGTCAAAAATAAAATAAAGTTTTTTGAAGTAGTTTCTTAAGAGGGCATGATCTTTACTGAAGAGTTTGGGATTCAAACATATAACAGTATAATTAATAATTTAGCTCAATAAAATTCAGTTTATCTTCTAAGTTTTACAGCTAAAATTCTCCAGTATTGGTTGGGTGTTTATTTAACTTCCATGAAAATGTTTCTTGGGAACTTTTTTTGGTCAACATCAGTCCATGTGCCAACTGGACAAGTCCATCTTTGACACTACTGACCTGCATATGCAGTAGTCAATGAAAATTAATTTCTTAAAACTACATCTTGTGCCAAGCTCAGAAAATAAATTTAATATTTTTTCTTCTTTATAAGGGTTAGTTACTATATAGAAAAGGATTAGGGGAGAGAGGGGAGTAAAAAGATTTTTACTTTTTAAAAAGTAAGTAAGTAAGTAGGGAGTAAATAAGCTCAGAAAATAAATTTAATATTTTTTCTTCTTTATAAGGGTTAGTTACTATATAGAAAAGGATTAGGGGAGAGAGGGGAGTAAAAAGATTTTTTTTCTTTGGAGAGCCCCTCCAGCTCCCTGGAGCTATACTGGGCTGATATGTATGTATTAGACCATGACATCAGTCAGTTGATTGGAGTTCTAGCATACCGGAGACCATGAGCCAGAACCTGGCCCCCTCAGAGAGGCGCGAGGAGCAATGGCTTATAGAAACCCCCATGTGGTTGGAAGCATTCATGTCTGCCATCTACCAGGTTAGGCACCCAGAAAGGTAGGCATCTCAAAACAAACTCGACCTGGTTAAAATTGCTACCGAAAACCGTACTATCAAGCAGAACTCCACAGTCTGAAAACAAGCAAATAAGCATGTCGCAACCGCTACCGCTGTCTGCGCAGCTCCCCCCTCCTTCCCGGGAGGGGGAAGGGAAAGCTCCAGACCCCTTGCGCCAGCCATCCAACCCCAGTTCTGAGGCTGATGTGTTGCGTGGTGATCGTTCGACTCTGTCTCCTGTCTCTGAGCAGTGCTGTACCTTTGCGGTGTTGTTCTGCTGTGTGGTGGTGTGCGAGCCAGGAGTAATTCACGGAGTACTGGGGCTGTATGTGCCTAGGGCCGCCTTCCCTAGGTACCCTATAAGCACTGCCCTTGCCACTTAGGGTTATCTTCCACAAGTCATTCGGGAACTACCTCCATGAGGATCTTTTGCTGCTCAGTGATTGCCCACCCTTGGGGTCAGCTGGGGTTTTCATTTCCACTGTTTAACCTTGGGTAGAAGGTAGTATCTTCACTGGGAGGGGCGCAAGGTACTGTGCAGCTTGTCACCTATTACACAGCGGCTGGTTCTGTTCCACCTGGAGACTTGGTACTTTTGCCGGGTTTTTCTTTTTCTTTTTGTTTGTTGCCTGGTGGGGGGGTCTGCCCCTTGGTTATAGTCCACCCTCTGTTAGTCTGGTGGTTTCCCGCTAGGTTTCCCGCCCCTCAATTATAGGTCCCCATGATTGTACATGTCGCACGGGTTCAGCTTTAATTGATCTCTCAGTAGTTTGGGCCAACTGTTAGCAGTACCTTGCTTGGGCTTCCCTTAACACTCAGCCTAAGGGCCCTAGAAAACCCCATTAGGGCTCATTGGTCCAATGGATGCGTCCTCTGGGGCCCATCTCGCCTTGTGCGAGATGAGGAGCCTGTTCCTCCAGCCGGAGCTTCAGGGTCTGACCAGCAGACCCTCCCCCCCCCCCCTTTTCCTAGCTTTTCTGGTGGACTCTGTCTTTTCTCTAGGGGTGGAGGGTTTGGAGGACAGCTCTGCCCCAGGTCCTGGTGTGGAGGATCCTGGGGCTGGGAGGAGTCGACTTGCAGTGCTTGGGGCATGTTTGACCCTGCTTCGGTCTTGGCACCCTTGGCACGGGGCTTGTTGTTGCAGGGGGAGGGGTTTTCTTACCCCCCTTCCCTGTATACATTTTATATGTATTCGACTCCTCCCAGGGTTCAGTTCCGGGTTCCCTTGGGTTCTTCGGTCCCTTCCTTTCGGAGGTTTTCGGCTTCCTGTGTCCCGCCTAAGGAGGTTTGGGAGACCATTGCGGCATACCCCCTGTGTGACCTGAATTTTGCCTCGATAATGGACTTCCTCGTTGGAGCTCAGTTCTACTTTTCCTTATTGGGTGCGTTACGAGGTACCGGAGTCATTCTGGTTAGCAGACTGTCCTTTCTTTTTCATTGGGGATGTGGTACTCGTTCTGTCGGACCCGCATGCTTGAGTGGCAGGAAACTTCTACTGTAGTTCAGGTTTACCTTGGGGGCGAGTTGAAGCACCTCAATGTGTGCTTGTTCCCTCCTGTTCTTCCTGAGGATATTGGTCAGGTGCAGCTCCATGTGCAGGTTCCCATCCTTTCGGCATCCCTAGTGGCTATGGATTTGCATGCCCTTAGTCGCTAAGGATTTGCGTGCCCTTAGCCATCAGGGTAGACAAACTTGGCTTGGCTTCGGTTTTGCATTTCTTTTCCCTGCTCGAGCTGTCTTCAGACTGCCTTGAGGAGGATGTGGAGGCGCTGGGGACTGTGTCTGTGTCTGACGTACTTGCTTCGGCCGCTCAAGCGTCGGCTGCCTTGTTGAAGTTGTGTGTGCCGATTCTGAAGGAGGGGGGGGCGTGTCTGTTCTGTGCTTCCTGCCTCCCGTGCTGGCAGGCTGTGTTGCTCATTCTCTGGAATCCGTGTGGGCCCTGGCCCTTAGATTTTCGTCACCTTTTTGTCCGTTGCTGTTTGTGGATTCTGCAGTTATGCAGTATAGGCAAGCGGTTTCTACTAGTTGTCACAATATGTCAGACTTGTTGGTTGTTTCCGGAGGGGTTGTGTGGTCGTGCTCATTTTTTGCATCAGGGTCTCGCATGCCTCCTGCGGGAATCTGTTTTTTCCCTTGGAATCCTCTTCCAACCTCACTGCATTTGGAACTATAATTCAATTTCACATGTTGGCTATGCCTTCAGGGCCATTTTGTCATCTTTTCTTTTTTATTTCTGTGGAATCTCAGACTTGCATCCACCCTAGTCGGCTTTTTTTTTTCTTTTAATGCTTCTTTCTTTCAAATCCTTTCTGTTGCCAGGTATGCTTTGAACCCTCCTTTGGGAGCTGTCCCTTGCCATGTGAGCTGTGGTCTCATGCTTAAGTATGTCTCCCTCTCTCTTCAGTGAAGGTCTCAATGGTAAGTAGACTTGGGGGAATGACCAAGGCAGGGGGCGTCTTACTCGGGAACTAGGTGTTGAATGTAGTATTACAAAATGCCTCTGTCTAAGCTAAGTGTCTCTTGTTATTCCCATTTCCATCTTTTTAAATCCCATCTTGTGCGTGATTGTATGGTGTGGGCTTCAAGTAGGGGGTTGCCTGCTCCCACAACCCAGGGCCATCTTAACAGCACTGGAGGCCCCGAATAAAGCAATGCACAGTGGCCACTACCTTCCCACTATTTCACTATTGTGAATCATTCCTCTGTGTGGAAGCCTTCACAGTAACCTTTGTGGCAAAGGTTGCCACAAAGCTAAGCTCACTTAGGACCCCACCTGTCTGCTAAAGTGCAGGATTACTGTCACATAGTCGAGCACAAATTATTAATACTGTATTTTAAATATAATTTGTAAAGGGATTTGATTCCCAGTCCTTTCCAGTGGGAGCTCGAATGATTATCCACTCAGGCAAGTGGATCACTCTCATGAACAATATGCCAGCATTGGGTCCCATAGAATTTTGGGGTCCCTGGGCAACAACCCAGTATTCCCTTGCCTCAATCCTGTAATGGTGCAGGTTATGCTATCTAGTGGCAGTCCTGTGTAGTAAGTTTCTCTCCTTAGCAGACTAAAAACTGAGGAATGAATGGCAGGCTTTGTGATAATTATTTATCTTTCAAATGTGGGTATTGATTGTTATGATTAGTAATACTCAACATTTTATTTTTTCCAGATTGAAAAATACAAAAAGAGCAAGAAGAAGAAGAAACTGTTTAATGTCATAGTTCAAAGAATTAAGGATGCATCAGAAAACAGAGCTAATATGAAAATAATAAGTGATATTGTCCTGAAGAAGTTAGGCTCCTAGGCATATTTTCATTTAAGGATGCATCTTCACATTCAGGGAAGGCTATGTTTAAAGTATATTTTATATTGTTGGTTGATCAATTTTTAAAGGAGTACAGGTATATAAGTAACAATAAGTACCAGGTAGCTAATATTTTCTTTTAAGCCAAATCCCCAAAATCATTATTGCAATCATTTATTTGGTATTATTGGAAAACTGAAATAGGTTTCAATTGTTGGAATTACTAAATAATTAGCATCTTATTAATTTAACAAATTATTATTTTTCAATTAATAATTTTTAATATTTTATAACTTTAAAAAATATGAAAAACATGGAATATTTAGAATGTAGAAAAACTGGTGACAGTAATTGTACTAGTCATTATTCTATGCATTTTGTAAAAATGTCATCAAAATTAAATTACTGTACTAATACACTTGTGAAACAAATTTATCCAAAAAATGCAATTTGATTATTCTGTTAACAAATGTTCGTCAAAGAACCCCCTCACCGAATTACTTCTTCCAAAAGGCAACTGTTATGGGGTTGCATCCTTGGGGAGGTCAGTAGTTTGACCTTGGGGAGGATGGGGGGAACCTTGATACAAGCCTAGAAGTATGTATGTGTGTATACTGTGTATATACATGCATATACAGTGCTGTATATGCATGTATATACTGTATACATGCATATACACACACACACATGCAGAAAGGGTAGGGGAGGGGCAGATTTCCTATCCTCGAGAACGGGAATTATGATTTCATTGCTTAAAAAGTGAATAGTTTACAACTCTCCAGTACTACATTGCCAATGTTTTGAGGGGTTTTGTTGGCAACACTATAAATTAAACAAATATACTCATAGTTGGTAAGTTTTTTCAAAATAAGCTAAAAATATAAATATCTAGGCCTTTTCGTGCTGTAAAACAATACTTGGCCAATGTTTAATATTTTGATTCCTTGATGGTGAAGATGGGTCTTTATGTAAATATGTAAATGGTTCTGTTACGAAAATTCTAGTATACAAAACTATATAATATTTTGCATAATTTGTCATATCTCATGCAATATAATTGCAATTAATGGTTAATTATGCTGTACATTGTGATTAGAGAAGTTGTTAACAACATTTATGCTTGTTGTTGAATATAATTAATAAAAAATACAAATAAATTAAAGACCATAGAAAGATACTTCAAGAGAAGGCTTTATGTATGCCATAATAAGACAGTATGAGGACTCAAGATGAATTATAGATCATGTTTATAGTAACCACAGGGCTTGCCAGTTCTGTATACAAATAAGCAACTACAGTTAAGAGGTAAGTGATCAATAAGAAAATCAGCACATTGGGTCACCAAAGTGACCCAATGTTTAATATTATATACAGTAAAGTAAATGCAGTTGATATACAGTAAAGGTATAAAGAGTGCAATTGATATACGGAAAAGGCATTACTGTATATCAATTACATTCTTTATTTAATTCTTCATGTACTGTATTGTCAGAAAATCTAAGTAGAAGATGTTTATAAAACATTAATAAATACTCGATGAAAATTATGGTAATAATATCTTATATATTTTGTAAAGACAATACCTACATTGTAATTACCTAAGTATAGTTACAGGATGAGAGCTGCGCTCGTGGTGTCCCATCTTCCCAGCACTCTTTGTCATATAACGTTTTGAAACTACTGATGGTTTTTGCCTACACCCTCACCTCACCTAATTTGTTCCAACCATTTTCCACTCTGTTTGCAAAAGTGAATTTTCTTATATTTCTTCAGCAGCTTTGCTTAGTTTAAATCTATGACCTCTTGTTCGTGAAGTTCCAGGTCTCTGGAATTCTTCCCTATCAATTTTTGCCGATTCCCATTACTATTTTGTACATAGTGATCATATTGCCTCATTTTCTTCTATCTTCTAGTTTTGGCATATTTAATGGCTCTAACTTTTCCTCATAGCTCTTTTTTTTCAATTCCGGGAGCCATTTAGTTGCATGTCTTTGTACCTTTTCCAGTTTGTTGATTTGCTTCTTAAGATAAGGGCACCATACAACCGCAGCATTTTCCAGCTTTTGGCTAACACAGGTTGTGAACAATTTCTTTAGTATTTCACCATCCATGTATTTAAATGCAATTCTGAAATTGGAAAATGTAGCATGGGCTCCTTACACAATGTTCTTTATGTGGTCTTCAAGTGATAGTTTTCTATGTAGAACCACCCATAGATTGCTTTCTTTATCAGAATATTTTAAAGATTTTTCACACACACACACACACACAAACACACACACACACACACACACAGAATTATATGAACATGTTTGCTGATGATGATTTGTTGAAATATTTTTCAGGTGAAAGTGATTATGATGCATGGACTGGCTTGGAGTGAGGCTCCTTTACTCTGCAAAAGGAAATCTACAAAAGTGGGTGAGTTTGAATTTGATGTTTTAGCTATATCAATGACCTAATCTTAATTCTTGTATCTAATCCATTTATAGGTGTGTAACCATGTCCTACTGTTACAACCCACAGGGGATGATGCAGTTTGTACTGATCCTACCCCATTTCATAAAAGGGGACCAGGCAGTCTTGCAGATTTCCCTGGCTTGGCTTTTTCAGAGCTTTGCTCTACTACCCATCTAATAGATGGACTAGATTTGCATAGGTTTAGGGACCCTTAACAATGGTTACATTGTTAATTCTCACAGGGCTTGTTTGCTGAATGGGTGGATGCATCTAAACCTTTAGTGCCTGGCATGCATTGTACAGTGCTTTCAGTAAAGCATATGTACAATGTGTTGAAGGCACTAATGGGGTGGATGTAATACACCCATTCAGAGAACAAGCTCTGCACTAAAATCAGAAAAAGGGGTAGGCCTTGCTGAGACAATATTAAAAGATTGGGTGTTAGGATTTTTTGGGCTTATTATTAGGCATTGGTGATAATAAAAGTAGTGTCCCTGTTTAATGTTTATTCTTCTTTTACAGGTGATTGTCTCTGGAGTTGTCTTGGATCTTCTGTTCATCTAGGAGCATCTGTCCCACAACCTGAAACAGTAATAAATATTAGATGTATTATAAATACTGTATGTAAAACTTATTAAATAAAACAATTTTAATGAAACTACATTATATACCTTATCCTGAAATTATGCTGGAAATTGTTTACTACTATTGATGCAATGTTTAAACATTGAAATTTCTTTACTTTGAAAATAAATACTTGGTAAAATTTACACCCATTTGTAACTTGTTACATAGGTGCATGCAAAATGCATTGAAAAGATGTAAAAGTGGACTACCTATTCAATTTACATAAACTAACAAATATTGCAAATTAGTCTGAAATATTAAAGTGGAAGAAACTTTAGTCAATATTTTAGTTTTCATATTTGAAAGTAAATTTAAAGCTATGCAACACCTAAGCTTTGTACAAATTATGATTTAAATTAACTAAAGATCATCGTTAAATTTACAAAACATTAGAAAAGTGACACTGAAGCATCTATACAACATGGTTTTCACAAAGTCTTTGGTAACTTAAATTTAATCAAAGCTCTTAAATGATTTGTCTGCCAAACTCTTCAGATATTCTGAAATATTTTACCTAGATTAAAACCATCATTGTTTGAAAGGGCAAAACAGATTACCGTCAATTAGTTTGACCTAACATCTGCAAGGTCCTGAAGGAATGAAATTTTTTTTGTAAAACTTTTTGCTAAAAACAAACCCTGCCTAATGAACCTGCTCATATTTTTTTAGAAATTGTAATTGCAACATTACCAAAGGCCATTGTTTTAATAGCCAAAGTACCAAATGAAAGACCAAGAAGCAACAAACATGTACATGGTAGAAAGGACAAAAGAATGGTTGAGGACCCTTTCATTTGTTAAAGAAATGACTGGGAAAAATGCTGTCATACCACAAGGGGTCTTAACCCTTGTCATATACATCACTGACATTAATCTAAATATTACCAACCACAAAAATTGCTGATAACATGTTATCAAAAAAATAAAGAATATAATATTGAGGCCTTATTGCAGATCTCTAACTCTACAAATAGTAACAAGACTGGCAATTTCTTAATATAAAACAGAAAAAAATCCAAGACCTTGCATGTGAGCCAGAACAATCCATATCACAACTACCACATTAAAATGAAACAACAATGAAGGTAAGGTAATTACCAAAAGAAGGCACCAAACCGGGAAGGCCATGTAGCACCATCAAAGTGCGAAATAATCAGAGGGCGCTAAATATCACCAAGAATGCCAATACGAGAACAAAAACGCATAAGGCGAACGATATCAAAAGTATCCGATTCACCTAGAATTCTATCGAGGGACAAGTGACTGCGAGGGACGGTCGGAAAGCAAGACACACGCTCGTCCTGGAAGTCAGGACATTCAACAAGGATATGCACAACTGTAAGAGGGACAACGCAATTCGGACAATAAGGAGCAGGGCGGCGCTCCATTAAGTGACCGTGGGTTAACCCTTAAACTGCGCATGGCGTATATATACGCCCTGAGTAACATGTCCCATGGTGCGCATGGCGTATATATACGCCATAGGGTGCCAGGTCTTAATCAAATGGCCCGCGGCTACACGGGGTTCACAGTAGCTTCCTCAGGGCTCTTGTAAACAGATGCCATTTTAAAAAAAAATCGTGGGCAATATTCTCAGGTGTGAGAGGCACAGTACTGTTGGAGCAACCAAGACCGGCGCACGCAGCATGAGCGAACAGCATTGATGTTCAGCTTGTGACCACAGCATCGCCGAAAAATGTCAAAATAAATATGTAATTGTTATTATTTAGCGATGACAATATTACAGATGACCAATGACTGTGATATAAATAACCAGGGTTGTGATAATAGCAGGATTGTTGTAATAATTAGCGCTGTGGGAGGAGTGATGCTGAGAGATGGAGGGAGACAGCATCGTTTACTGTGTGGCTAGCTGTTATTGTTTGCATTCACCATACCAGGTCAGTGGTTCTCTATGGTGAACACAAATGTAGATACTTATATATAATGTGTGTATTAGTGTGATAACAGCAAAAGGATTATGCTGGGAGGAGCCATATGGGTGACGGAGGTGACGTCGTCTGCACGATTTGTCTAGCTGTTTAGAGGGTGGCCACTATGCTCTTTGGGCGCACTACAAGCTTAGGTGTACAGTTACGGTGCATAAAACATGTAGATATGTATATATAATATGTGTATATAGGGCAATAACACTGCAAAAGGTATTGTTGGGGGAGAAAGTTTAGTGCGAGTGACCTTGAAAGAGTGAGGGAGCCGTCAGCCACCATCTGTGTATAGCGACGACTCTTAGTGCCTGAACTAACTATATCAGCTTAGCTGTACAGTTGTGGTGAACAAAATATATACATACTTATATATAACGTCTGTATATAGTGTAATAACACCACAAATGGTATTGTTGA